GCAACAATTCACATCATTCAGACTGGAAATTCCGCACAGCTTCGTCATGCTGACAGAACTCAAAGAACTTCCTTGGCGTGGCTTCGAGAACAATTCACGAAAGCTTTCTTCAATCTCGTCAATGTCAACACTGTGCATCAGGTTGCGGACATCTTGACCAAGCCGTTTACGAGCAAAGCAAAATGGGATCACGCGTGCAATCTTATTGGAGTACGGTGGGTGCAGTTGGATGGAAACATTACAATCAAACCAGCCCCCACTAGCGAGGCGCAAGCTTCCGCCGTTTCCACGCATGAAACCTATGATCGGTTCTTGTGCGAATTTTGCTGTTCTGATGATTCCAAGCTCGGCGACAAATCAAGATTACCAGCATTTGGTTGCAAGGTGCTTAGAGTAACTGAGCGTCAGAATGCGTTGGTTGCTGACACATTGAAATGGGTATTTGACGAGGTGCAACTTTTCAGGAAGAATGTCAGGCCCAAAACACCGCCCTGCGTGATGCTTCATGCTTCACTTCCGTGTACGGGTGGGTGCCCCTGGAACAATATCAATGGTCAGACTCAAGAAGGTCAAGCCAAGATCCAGGAGCACAAGGCGTTGTTTCGCAAACTGCTGAAGCGTTTGGACAAACTTATCACTATGCTTCGACAGCTTGACATTGTGCTTGTGATCAACATGGAACTTCCTAAGCTTTGCAGTTATTGGAAGAACTATTTCGTGCATGATTTCCTCATGAAATATGAGATGGTCAAGTACAATTGCGATGGTTGCATGTTTGGTGTCCTGGACAAGGATGGAAATTTGTTGCAAAAGTCATGGACTATTGCTTCTTCCTGTCAATCGTTGGCCAAGCTGCAACAGTATAAGTGCACAAAGGATCATCAGCATGGACAGTCCAGGGGGGCGGCCCTCAAACGTGCTGAATCTTACACGTATGAAATGACTGACCTGATCCATGGATGTTTTTCTGAGTTTGCTGACAGCATGAAACAGGTTGTCACCGATAGCTCGGCTCAGAGACCCACAAAACGTGCACTTGTTGCTCTTAAGCTTCCCTCACCGGTAGCCGCAATGGCTGCTTACAATCTCGGGGAGTATTCGGAGGGCAACTTGGAGTACTGGCGAGGAGTGATGACGAGCTTTACGTCGAACACCTTGTTCCAGGAGACGAGGCCCGAGGATCGCAAGACAATGGAGCAGATCCTCGGAGCACAGGCCACTCTCCAAAGCTCATGCGCTATGTGGGCGGCTGACTACGCGCCGGAGCTCATGGATACGCTTTGCGCTGTCAATGACAAAGGCCTTGGCCGCATCACGCCCGGGGCAACCTGTGGCCGGAATAGCGTGTACCTCGTCGTGAGTGACTCCAGCCTCGCCCTCATCAGCGGTGGCAAGAAGAACCGCAAGAGGGCGGACTTGGCGCAGGACATGAACTACAACCGCAGCACGAGTTGTAGCCACTGTGAGGTGAGAATGTGTTGGGGAAAGGACCTCACATTTCTCACGTGGACAGTGAAAAGCGCCATGAAGGACCTGAAGATACGTCCTGAGTTCAAGGACCGCGACTTCTACGTGACGGTGTACTGGTCCGAGAACGAGCTCGTTGGCAGTGGTGGGATCTGCGATGAGCCCGAATGGCCATACCGATGCGGAGACGGTCACTGGCCCGAGCTGTTCAACAAGTGCGCCAAGGCGATCGATGTGCTTGAGGAGTGCAGGAGTTGGTGGGGCATTGCGAACATCACGATCTTGGCCAACACCGAGGGTTCGTACTATATGCTCCCGCCCATCTACAACCAGTTCATGGAAAAGTTGTTGGATGAGTCGCTCAACAAGCACAAGCTCCTTCGCAAGAAGGAGTCGACGTTCTTGGTGTCTCGGCAGGACAGGCTTGACAACTACCACATGGTGGACTCCATCGAGAACCGGAAGACGACGGTGGAGTGGTTGTGGTCGTTGTTCAACGTCATGAAGTGTGTCGCTGTCGTTGAGTCCCACAAAGAAGATTTCAACAACGTGAGGTTGTACCTTGAATATTCCCATGACGCCGAAGCTGGACTCAATCCGTACACTTTGGCTGAGTATGAGGCGAACAGGAAGCTCACGCTTGAGTCATGGGAAAGCCTTCAACGTCCGATCAAGCTCGCGAAGGGCCGCATCCTCGAAAAGATCGAGGAAGTCGAAATCAAGGAGGAGATCGACTATGATGACGATGATGCACTCCCGCAAGGGAGTGCCGCTGAGGCTGCGCTTGGCGTCAAGGCCGCTCCGGCTACACCCAAGTTCACCGCGAAAGCATCGCCAAAGGTACAGGCGAAAGCATCGACTGCTGCGGTGGCATCGGATGTGCGGGGGGCAACCCCTGCCGGAAGCTCATTGCCAGGCAAGCCCGGCGGAACCGTCATCTTCCGCGGCCAGGAGTACGAGGCGAGGATTCTCCCGGGCACGATCCTGAAGGTGCCCAACTTCATGAAGGGAGAGACGTCCTCGACCGATCGGTGCACAACCATATCTGGAATGCTTCGTGGCAGGTTTCAAGAACAGAGGCCACTCGACTTCGATGAGAACTATTTTGTCGACGTCCACCAGCTATGTGACAAATTCAACAGAAAGACCCGCAGCAATATCGGGTACAAGACGCTGTTGAAGATTTTTGCACTCGATCCGAAATGCAGATACACCGTCCTCGCGATCAAGCATCCTTCGGCTGCCGAGAACAACCAGGAGTGGGTTGTCATCAAGGTTCGTGCCAGTCAGGGACACGCCAGCAGCGTTGATGCTGATGGCGACATCAGCCGGAACCAGTACGCACTTGCGAAAGCAATCTACGGGAAGTTTCTCCCGGAGGACGCTCGCAAGGTCGGACTGCAGCTTTCGCCGATTGATGATGGCCCTGGCAAACTATACCATCGCACGAGCAAGAACGCAGCCGAGAACATCGTCAGGACAGGTTTGATCCCGGGTGGCGTTGGGGTCACGGAGAGTGGCCGCTCGCAGAGCCATTTCTCCATCCACCCGGTAGAGAGCTCATCGTACAATGCTGGAGTTCGAGCAACAATGCCTATTGAGCTTGTCATCGACTTCAAGTATGCGATCGAGCTCGGAGTGGTGTTTTTCCTTTCGGAGTCTGACGTCATGCTGACCGCCGACATCGTTCCCAATGACTCCATTCTGTACTACACAGATGCGAAGACAGGTGAAGTGCTTTGGAGAAACGCCCTTCGTCTTGAGGCATTGGAGAATCAAACGACTGTCGACACGCTCGCCGCAAGGCGAGCCGTCACTGTGACTGCAGACGAGGCCTTTCAGACCGATGCGGAGGGAAACAGGGCCACAAATCCTGAAGAAGAGCAGACGAATGAGGACACGGCCGCCTCTCGCCCGGGGCAACCCGCGGCCGACACCTCAGTCGTCAGGTTCAAGACCTTCGCAATGCCCGTCCACTACACGGACTGCAGCCTCTGCGGCGAGGACATGACGCAGGGGCAGCTCAAGTGCCAGCGTTGTGGACGGAGCACTAAGGAGAACAATGACGTTCAGCTCTTCAGAGCCGCAAAGCGGAGAACGCAGATGCTTGAGGAGGTGAGTCACCGCGTTGGCAAGACGGTTGATCAGCTCCTCATCAATGATTTCAAGGGCTACGCTGATGTTGCGAAGAGAGGAGCAACATCCTTCGAAGCCAAGCAGATTGAGGCTTCAAAGAACTTCGATAGCAGGGCCCGCAAGCTTGGATACGACAATGTGGTGGATCGGTTTGACAAAGATGCGACCTTTGCCCTTCGTATGGTGGAGCAAGGGCACAATCGCGACAGCCTCTACCAAATGTCTATCTATAGGTTTTGTGTCCTCCCCGAATTTCCACGGAGTTACGATCAACGACTTCTCGGGGTTGGGCCACGCTATGGAAAACGAGGTCTCCAGTATGTGAGGACTGTCTACGTCACCGGCGGCAAGGTCGGGGACTATGACGCCAGCCTGCTTACGTTTCCATGGCTATTCTCGTACAACGGGAAAATGCTGAGTCTTCATCAATTCGTCGACCAGGTCAACATCCTCCCGGGGATGCGCAATCTTGTCACCTTTGGCGGGAAGTTCCCTACGCTCCGGGCAACCGGAGCCGAGGACCTCGAAGCTGAAGTCACGGAGATTTGCTGCCAGGCGGGAGGACGATGCGAAGAAAGCGCCGAGGACCGCGCCCGCGGACCTGTGCAACCTGCTCAGCCCGCCTCCAGCTCCGCTGCCAGAAGCCGAAGCTGGAGAGATTGGGGCAGTCAGGACTGGAGCAGTCAGGACTGGAGCAGTTGGCAGTGGTCGACCTGGAGTTCGCGCGGCTGGTCTACTAGCGGAAGGTGGTGAACGCAATCGTCATCACAACGGAGCCCTTCTGAGAGAGTAGCAATTTGCATGCACGACGGATGTGTAATGTCCATTTTCAACGTGGGAATCAAAGCGGGTTGCAAAACCTGCCGACATTTTCGTTGTTGCTCAATCTCAAATGAGGGGGGTGTGGATTCAGGTTCCAACCCTGTGCATGAGTGTACTTGTACATGCTCCGCCGCTACAGACTTCAAGATCACTGACAGCAGTGTGAAAAGGTATTCAACGGTTTGCTGCTTGCCTAGGTATTCCCTTAGGTGGCCTAGGCTTGATAACACATTGGCAGGCGTCTTAGCCCACCTGCCAAAGCTCCGAAGTTGGAGGCTGGATGGAACGGGGGAAATGCCCCGTCCCATTCACTAATGTGGAACCCAACGGGGTCCTGGAAGACATTTCCATTTGACATAAACCCTCGCGTGGGTTCTTTGTCAGTGGACGGGAGGGTCTTTGTCAGTGGACGGGAGGGTACATGGCCATGAACTGTGTTTTGATAGGGACCCCTTGGAAGAACATGGTTGGTGAACATCAATCCCCGTGCAAATGATGTCCCTAAAAAGGGTGCCCAGTGTATGTGTGTGTACATCAAATTAATCCCATGCCCACGGGGAGTGACTTCTGGTGAGGCGTGCCAGCATCACCGAGATGAGGGAGTACCACTCCGAGGCAGCATCCAGTTTGGACGCATTTGGGTGAACCAGGCTGTTGACGAGTCGGGTAGGTTCGATAGATGGATTTGCCCGACTTATATACATACATGCATGCAAACAACCCAAATATGTATATAAAGACTGGAAAGAAACTGGCAATAGGGTCAATTACTCGGAGGAATTTGTAAACTGATGTGAGCCGCAGCAAGGGGAGCCATAGCAACCAAATAGTGACTCTTGCTTTTAGTCTTTTGGATTTCCCGTTTTGGGTCATGTTGAGTCAAGGTCCCAAAGGTGTACCCTTCATTTCCAGGTCCTCCCACCTGCAAGCATAGCAGTGCACAGTTCCCTCCTGAAAGGGCTGGTGGGAGGGTGTACGAGGTGCGTTACTTTTTTGAGTTGGTACCCCATTTTTGGAAATCAGCACCCGCTGTTTCGGAGTTGGTACCCCTGTTTATTGATGGGAGGCTACTCACGTGTTTGGCCACCTGGGTTTGTCATCCTAGGCGAACCCCCACAATTGTTTGATGTCTTTGGGGTTCCCTTCCAAAATCAATCAAAACGGGACCCCCCCTGCCAAACAAAAAATGAAACAAAGACTTGCGCATCGCTCAGAACTCCGTGCACTTCTCGCTGTCCATGACGCCGGATAAGCTGGCGGAGGTGGGAGAAGCTACCAGAGCCGCGGCTTCGGATGTGTCGCCATTCGGTTTTGGTGCCACTCCGCGACTTCTTCATTTCGACCAATCCACTCAGCAGGTCAGTAGATGGACATGACCGGTAAATATGGATATGTAAATGTAATATATGGGTGACCGACTTAATACACGTCCTCTGCGTCAGCTTTCCGCGCACCATTTCAACACCAGGAACCATGATTTGACATGTAAAGCAAGATGGACCACAACGCTTATATATCTAGTATTATCAAAGTTGTTTGCCCTGACCCGACGAAAGCCAAAGGTTTTTCCTTGACGAGGAAAGCCCCAAGGTTTTTCCTTGACGACAGAGCGATGCTGATCACAACTGCAGATGTGCCTGCTTCAACAGGCATCAAAGCGAGGGAATACTTTTGAACGGAATCGGACTGGGCAAACCTTATTGAAGTTCCAAATTGGCAGATACTCATGTGGGAGTTTTTCTGAGAATTGTGGATTGGTATTTACAGGGGGCCGATTCCTATTTTGAGAAACATCCATGCCTGTGTGTTCAGTGCCACAAACCCGGTGTACGAGGTTCCAGTTTGTGGCCCCACATGCCCGTTGATTGAATCAGAGACACGGTACTTGTTTTTCTTAGGCTGCGTCCCACTAAGCAGCAGATCCCTTCAGTGCCCTATTGATGTTCTTCGCCGAGGAACCGGACAAATTGCGCTGTCGCACTAAGAGCGGGGTGGCAATGGGACCCGATCCCGGGATTGTCAAAGTCAGACGGGTTCTTTTCCCTGGAACCAGACCCCCATGGCAAAAGATTGGCTCACCTGCCTTTGACCTACCAGATTAGGGGAAAATCCCGGGGCCCCCCCGCCCGCCCCCCGCCCCCACACCCCTGGAAAGGTTCTTTCCATTTTTTTTCGGACCTTTGGTTGGGACCCACCAAACTGGAACTTTGGGGGAGATTCAGCGACCCCTGTTCCTGGAATTGCCTCTCGATTTCCAGTAGAAGTCCTTTCCCTTTGCGCCGGTTTGGAGTACAATTTCTAGCCCCAAGTTGTGTTTTTCGACTTCCAGGCGGAGCGCCGGGGCTTTGAGAAGACCTTCCACCTGCGCTCCAGTGCCTCCGCTCCCCCCGTTTTGTTGTCATCCTTTGTCACTTCAGATCCTTTTTTGTTGCGAAATAAATGAAAGGAAGTTGCATGTAAAGTGACCATGGTTTTGCAGGTTTTGCAATTGTTTTCAACATGAATCTCAGGGTTCGTTTGGGACAAGTGCAAAATCATGTGAACGGCTCTTTGACCACATTTTGTTTGACTGCCTTTGGGTTTGCTCATGCTTCTGGGAAAGACTTTTTAGTGTTTGCATGAGTTGACAGAACCCACCAACCGGACATCAGGGATCCCGGGCACTGACAACAAGAAAGAAGAGATCCCCTGCAAGGGGGTTTCCTGTAGCTGTCAAGGCCCGCCCGCTAATAGGGGCGGATTCCCCAATGCCAGTAGCCTAGTAGCAAGCAGGGGGTTAATAAGGCTCCTTCTTGTGGATGCACTTTGGTGGGTGGGTGAGGGGTGGGGGGGGCCCCTGACAACCATGGGAGAGTTTAATACTGTTTGGTGCTCCTTTTCTCAAAGGTGGTCAAGCGGCAACTCTCCCGCCGTGTTGCGGGGGTGGAGGGCGTGGGAGTGGTTTGGCTTCCTCGGTGCTTGGTTTAGTTCTTTGTTGGCTTTTGGTTCTGATCAGTTTCAGGTGGATGTGTCTTCAAATATTTGCGGGCGGTTTCTCTTTCGTTTCTCTTCTAAACCAACCGAATAGGGTACTTCCAACAAGCAAACATGCCCGGGTGCTGCGAAAGGCAAGGCCTCTGCCAGACATGCCACGGGTTGAGCAGGCAATCCAGAGATCGCTAAAAGCCAATGCGGGGACTTAGCGTGCATTCCGGGCCCTATTTGCAATATTTTGAGGATCAGCTGGTGTCGGGCAAAGGGTATCTTGGCACGGGACCCAAATTCGGACAACCTTCCAGCAGTTTTGGTATGAACCCATTATTATGTCAGTTTCCGGTCAGAAAGGTGAGCCGGATTATGCTTAAGACCCATCACTTGGAGGTGACGTTGAGAATGTTCCGATACCGTTTGGCCAGTCAGTGCCTGTCAACGATTGATTGGAATGTGTCAAAGGGCCCTGCACATGTTATTTCATGCCGTCATCCTTTCAATTGGACCGGAAAGAGGTCCGATTCCGACTCGCAACGCACAGGCTACTGAGCCGCACCTCCTTTGATTTCATCCTGCACGGAATTCTGGAACCCAGCAAATTGGTCTTCCAGCCTCCGGGGTTCTGGACATTCATGTGTTGCACCGACCGATTCGCGCCTGCCAGTGCCTCGATCAACAGGGGCTGATGAACGCTGGGGAAATGGGACCAGAGAAGGAAAGCCACCCTCGACTCAGAAGCAACCACGCAAGCTATGACAACAACACCTTTTCCCATTCGGCGTTTTGACAAGGCATGTATCAGTTTCCAGCAAGTCCAAAAGCCAAACTGGCCCAGAGGCACAAGGCCTAGTTTGGGATTGCTGAGACTTCCAACCTTTGGGTCACTGAATTGCCCAGCTGCAGCAAAACAATTCGGTTGCTATGGCAACCGAACCCCTTGCTCCAATACAGCCCCCCTCCAGTGGGCTATGTGTATGGGAAATCTCACAAAATGGGGATTCATTAAGTGGGAAGAGTACCCTCCCTCCAACAATGGAAGCTGACAAAAGGGCTTTGGAACGCTACCGTCCTCTTTTCGACGCTTTTGCCTCGCATCGCGCAAAGCGCCGAAGCGATCGAAAGCGAAAGCGACGAATCCCATGGCGCCCCCGGTGCTGTTGGTGGTGGGTGCGGCGGGGGCGGGCAAGAGCTCGCTGGTGCAGCGCCTACTGACGGGAACTTGCCACCTGGAACTCACTTGGGGGGCGGGAAGGGTAGTGATTGGTAAGATATGGCTATTACAGAAGGAGCTAATTTGTAAGGAATGAACAGGTCTATATCCTGGAAGTCGTGAGTGGTTAATAATGGAGAAAGGACAGGATATAGAATGAGATGATAGAATGGATGGGTTGTAAGGATGTGTCTATTCCTTTTGTACCTTGTATTATCTCCCTTTTCAGCTTCCTCACTGCTTTCGAGAGTTCTATCATTAGCAACTTGTCCATCCAAAAAGATCTTCTGGCTGGGATAAAAGCATTTCTGGATTGTAGATGTGTCTCATGGAAGATTCCTTCAATATCCCATTCCATTCTTCTGCACCTTGATTATTGGCAACACAATATTGACGGATATCTGTCTCCATTCAAGCCTTTCTTCTTCACATTGTTCCACCATTATAATCCTCTATCTATATCCTCAAACCATCATTCCAGAGTTCTAAAGAGAAGAGAGATGGATAAATGGAATGTCTCTCACTATCCCACATTATTCCCTTCCTACCTTAGTCACTTTGCTGTTCCATGGTGTCCAGACAATAATCTTCATTTTTATCTTTCTATCTCGTTCTTTATTACACGTTTACACCTTGGAAGCGGGGGGGGGCTGGCTGTGGGTGGCTTGGGTTCGGTTGGTTTGGTTGGGAAGGGTTTGGTTTGGTTCTGCTGGCTGGTTGGTTTGGGTTTGGGTGTGCTTTTGACCACCCTTTGACCCGAAACTGGCCCGAACAACAAAAGGCCCTCCGAAGATGCCTTGGAAATCCTTGCCCGAAACAGGGCTTGGGAAGGCCTTGGCCCATATGCCGAGGTGCGGCAGAATGTCTTGCGCCAACTGAAGGCATGCATTTCAGCGATGCAAGAAGTCATGTATGATTCACAGGTTTTGCGGGAAGCTGATTTGGTGGCATGCTTCAGGTGAAAGATGCTCAAGCAAGCCACCTTCTTCTCAAAAGCATTCTGTCATGTTTATGTTGGGCCGAATTTGTCTTACTGATCGATTCTACTCTTTTAAATTGCTTCTAAGTCCGTTCGAACCTCACATGGCCTTTGCGTAACTTGCTGTTTTCCAGGTCAGTTGAGGGCATATGAAACATCAGTTGCTCTGCACTGCTCTTAGAAACTCTCTGTGCATGCTTCATGTGAGCGTTTTGCCCTCTGTAGCTCCTACGTGAACACCTTTGACTGGCAAAGCATCCACTTCAATTCCCTCAGATATGCAGGTAGGCGTGTCACCAAATGGGTGCCGGGCAAGAATGTGTGAACTATATATATATATATATATGGTCTGGCAAGCGCTTGGGTCAGCCAGTCGATCGGAAGGTCAAAGGGAGGCAGCCCTTCGTCAAAACCGGCGAAGCCTTCGTGCGAGCATTCATGATGGACCAGTGGATTTCGCAATTTTGCTTGAGATCCGGCGGAGGAAGCCCCTTCCGACACGTGTTTTCCAGAGCCGAGCATTGAACCGAGAAAAGCACCTTCTCACAACATCCCTCGCAAGAGTCACAAGTTAGGTTTCCTTTAATCTACTTAGATACCTGCTTCTATAAACACAAGAGAGCAGTAGGCTTCGAACAAACTTACTGCAAACGTCTAAGCACACCTGCAACAAGCAAACTACGTCACCCTAAAAGGCTCTGCGCTGGCCCCATGCTCTGATCCATGATGACCTGATGGCAAGCTTTGGACTTTTTTTCTAGCAGGTTTGTTCATGGCAGCTTCCTGTCAGGCAAGGTCCAAAAAACACTTTCCTGGACCTTCCAAACTCTTAAACCGCAGGAATTTTGCAGAGATTTGTAGCCTTTTTTGGCCGCAAAAGGCCGCAAACTCGGCGCACGCACTTCAATGCCGCAAAACACCCACACATTCCCAAAGAAAAACAAAAAACACAAGCAGACACAGGCAACAAAACATCAACTTGCAAAGCTGCGCTCAGCGAATCAAAGCTGATAAGAAACCTTGAAACTTTGAATTCCCTATAATTTTGAAGGTTTGCATTGTCCAGGTTCAGTCATGCCAGTCAGCAAACGCAGCACGTCAACCCCCCCCCCCCCCCACGCGTTCTGAACTTCGTGCGTGCATCGGTTCGCTTTGGGCACTTGAGGTGAGCCGGCGCCAAGGCCCAGTGTGGGCATCGAGTCAGGCCTCGGATGTTGCGCTCTGTCAGGGAAGTCCACTTGGCTCCGCATTTCCGGCTGGGAATCAGAGCACAGATTCTTGATGCCGCGATTGCAAGCACTTCCCAGGGGTACAACCGGGAACGGTTCTGGCTTTTGAGCGCGGACCAATTTCTACTCCGGGGCGGCTTTCTAGGCCTTTCTCTACCTGTACCATGATGAAACAAAAATGGGTTGGAATTGTGTCCTCTTCTTTCACCCAAACTGTATGGGGCATTGATTCCAAGTCCATGATTGTGGGACACGGAGTTTCAAGGGAATCCTCCTCAAAACGAAGTAGTCGCACGGATGGGACTGCCCATGGCCATGAATTTTAATAGGGGACCCTCGGCAGACGGGGTTGGTGGACAACAATTTTATCCCGCACAAGTTCTTTCCCCAGAACAATTGAACGGTCCACGCACAGCCACCCCACCCACCAGGCAGGTGCCGTACCCTTGCACATGCCAATGTTCTATTCTGTTGTGTTTTGCTTTTCCAGGAACCGAGTTTCAGGGAACCCTTAGTGAACCCCTGGTTCTTGTATCCAAACCACTCATCAGAACCACCCATTGGAGGGAAGCTGACCATCACGATGCTATCTTTTTCCAGCTATGTGTCAAAGGGGCAATGAATTGGGCGGTCTTTCTGGTTTCCCTTCAAACCACCCCCCCCAAATACTGGCCCTGTCAAAGCTACCCATGGTAAAAGATTGGCTCTTACCTCCCTTTAACCTACCATGATTCGGGGGAGAAACTAACTCGCCCTGTCCCTGCAAGATTCTATGAACCTTCTGGGTGTGCCTTTTTCAGCGGGTACCCTTCTGTTGTGGTTTTAAAGGGAAATCCAAAAGCAGCACCATTTTTGTGGGGGTTCTCTAAAAAAAGAGAGATCCTTCTTAAAGGGGGCGTGTCGATGCTGAGTGCCAGGCATGTTCTACAGCCTGCAGCCGGAGGAGGCCGAGACCTCAGACCTGCGCCGCGCGGTGCCGCTGGGCGGCGTGGGCTTTGAGATCATGGAGATCGGAGGCCGGCCGCGTCGGTTGGGGAGGGAGAGGAGTGGCGGAGAGGGGATTTGGATGCGCCAAAATGGACGGTGTTCCTTTGGTGTCCCTGCAAGACCACCAAAAGAGTACCCTGAAACAACAACACACCCATTGGGGGAATTCTCTCCCAGCTGGTTGGACAAACATGCCAATGCGGAGGGGGAGCGCGTGCCATCAGGGGAGCAATTGGAGCCAAGAACGGGGGAACAAAAACAAAGCCGTGAAGAAGGATGTTGCAACATAGATGAGTGGCCGCCATAGGTTCTGATGCGAGAGAGAGGGAGGGGGGTGGCGGGAGGGATATGGCTGTGAGTTTTATTCTGGAATACCCTCCCCATTTTGGACATACATCTCCATGTAAATGTCGTCCACCAAAGTGCCCCAAACTGGGTCAAACTTTCGTGACATCTGAGATGATTGCGCTTTTCTAAAAAGTTGCTAGCAAAGAAAGGGCGCCATGCCCAATTCAATATTCATTTGCTTAAGGTGCCGCAAAAGGCACAATTGTGGTCGTGACTGGACCGGGTGTACGGGCTGCGTGTGAAGGACAAGCTGAGTAGGGGCTGGAGTTGCCAGAGTCACAGACTTACGCACCAGCTACCCTTTTGTGAAGCGGATCTTGGACGGGCAATTTGTCAGCGAACAAGCATTACTTGTCAATCATCGGCTCGTTTGATCAAAGTTCAAGAAGGGCACGTGTTTTCATCAAACTGCCACTTTCCCTCACCTCGTATGGTGAAATGCGAATGGCCCCAACTATCAGTACTGATCACCCCTCGGCTCTAGAAACCGCCAAAATATAGATGAGGTTCACTCTTTCTTTCCATTTGCTGTTTTTGGAAAAATAATGGGGTGGTATTTGCCAGATGCTCAGATTCCGTGTTTGTGGGACAGTTAATTCCCAAATACCATCAGTAAAACATTCTGCAATCCATCACGATTCTTGGTCAATCCTGACGTTTCGGCTGCCATGAGGTGGGGCAGGAGCTTCCGACGAAGCTTCCATTCTGTCGTGGATACTTCTTGAGCTTGTTCCTTGTCACCCACTTGCAATACTAGTATCTTCTTGCAGGATTTTCTCAGCTATTCTACAAATAGCTATAGCCATGATTCGACTTCTCGTATGACGTACGTTTCTCAACACCACTCTTCCGGCGAACATGGTTGTGGCAGCTTGCCTGTGAGATCAGTTTTTCTCTTGAAGGGACCTTGTTGCCCGGTGCCATCTCTGGGGGAAAACTCTGCTCGATGTTGCCACGAATGAATCACTCTCGCGCATTGGCGGCGCGGGAGGGGGGGGGGCGAGGGGTGCAACTTTCGCAAATGGGACACCTCGCATTCGCATGGATCAACCAGAGGCTTTCATCAGGGCTCGTCTCAAATTGGGGAATGTCTTTTTGAATAGTATTGAAAAGGAAGCCACTTGGAGGGGTCCCGAATTTTAAGAACCCCCCAAAAAAGGCTGGACCATTCGATTCCCGCAGGCCGCGAGCCGGTGCACCGCGCCCAGGAAGCAAATCAGCCCGGTGAATCGGGGATGTTCCAGGGAACGTACTCGCCCCTGGTGGAACATATCCCAATAAACCCCGACCGAAATCAGCCCCTTGAAAATAAGGCGAGTCTTCCACTTTGAGAAAAGCCACCTCCAGTCTCTTCCACTCACAGTTGGACCTATTTAAAACTTACAGCCAGGTTGTATGCGAGCCAATCCGTGCGACCCCACTTCTAACGTTCCTTGTAGCTGACCAAGGTTGAACATTCAAGTTGCGTGATGGACGCTTGGGTCGCGGGGAACGTCATCAAGTGGGATTCATATTACTCACAACTCACTTGCGTTTTTTAATCACTGGGGGGGCTGTTTGTCTATGCATTCGTAGGGCGAGTTGAAGTCTTTAACAGTGCTTTTGGGAGCAGCGTAAACGCCCTCAAGCAAGCGAGCTTTTGAATCGCGCTCAGGAGAGATCCCAAGGGGCAGGGACGTGTGCGGCCTCATGGTGTGCTATGACTCCAGGCAGAAGTTGCAAGTCGTTTGGCACAGGGTTGCTGCTTTGGTCTAGTGCACTTCCACGTTTGGTGGTGGGAGGTAAAACGGTTCATGATCCTCTTTCAAGCTTCCCTTTGATGGGGTCCACGGTCCTTGGTTTCAATCAGTAGTTCAAGGGAGCTGGACGGGGGTTTGTGCACTTGAGAGTTTTCGGCCAGGGACCGCACCTCTTTCTTCCGACTCTGGCATGTGCTGTGCCGACACCGGATGGACCGGCACATGGAGCTGCTTGGCAGAGCGAGTGGGGAGCGCCACCTCAGTTGTCCCACGGCAGGATGGAACTTTCCGTGTCCCTGGCCCTAATCCAGAGGTTAGGGGAGGTTGTGGTTTCCCCGTATAAGTCTTTCAGTTGCAACTCCAAACATCAGTCGTCTGTTTCCGGGCCGTTTTGCCGAAGTGAGCAGTGTCATTCACTGCCAACACAGAGCTCTCTAGGATAGCTTCTCTCATGCAGCATCACTCGAAAGGCGACGTGGCTGGGGTAAAGCAAAAGCTGACCTCCTTGTTGGTTCCTGGTAGGAGGCAGAGAATCAACGACTCTGCCTGCCTGAGGTTCTGCTTGAAAAGTTGCTCGCGCATCTGTCAAAGGGCTGTTCTCACTTTTTGAATTTGAAAGGTTTACAGTCCCTCTCCTGGTGTGATATCTGTTTTTTCATGGGGGAACGCACACACACACAGCACTTGAGGTGCTGGATATTCAATCAGACCATTCAGGTTGCGACGTCTGACATGTAAACCAACACACACACACACACCTAAATTTGCAGAGCACATGACCATTTTGAACTTTAAGACCGAAAACTTCTCGGGGTTCCCAACACAGCCCCCTCCCCCTAACCACCCCACACTCCCCAAGCAGCCCGCCCCCCCCCCCCCCCGCCCCCGCCCCCGCCCCCGCCCTCGCCCCCGCCCCCCCCCCCCCCCCCCCCCCCCCCCCCGCATCTGCCTTGGGGTGATCGCAAGGATCTCCTCATCCGACGTCTGCGCGAAAGGGGCCTTGGCAGCGGTGCTCTGCGGCACCAAAGCTGATCTCCCGGGTGAGCCCGCCATACCACAGGCGCGAGGTGTCCAATGGACAGGACTTCCTGAGAGTGGTTGCATTTTGGGTTCTCCAGCATTTCCCAAAGATCCCGGTGGTTTCCCTTTTCTTCTGCCATTTTTAGCTCCTGGAGTCTTGAGTAAAGAATGAATCATGCCCGGGTCTGGTGAAGCCTTTGAATGTTCTTCAGGAAAGCGGGTCTCAAACCCAAAAGAGGCCAAGCGCCTAGGCGGAGGTGCGCCGCTTCGCGGAGGCCAACGGCCTGGTGCCGGTGATGACCTCCGCACATAGCGGGCAAGGAGGGGCATGTAGTGGTCTCCTCCAAAAATATGTGTTTGTGTTTTGTTCAGGTGTCTCGGAATGCATGACGCTTGCCGCAAAAGGGCCAAGAGGAACGGAGGAAAAACGGACCAGGGCCTAGAATTTAGACTTGGCTGGTTCCTATAGTTTCCCTTCAACGCAGCCCTTTTAGGGGGTGTTATCCGACAAAACACAACCCCTTTTGCCTTCCACGCCTGGCCTTACGGCGCGAAAAGCCGCCCGTTGCTTTTGGCTCCTCGCTGCAACGTCGCAACCCGCAGCCTTTGCCGAAAATGTCCGGCGCCATGGCAGATGCGTGCCTCGGCCATTTGTTTCGGAGGAGGTTACCCAGAGTTCATTCAGCCCGAGGATAAAGACCTTTGGGCCCCAATCAAGCCGCAGGGTTGGGGTGCTGGGATCGCAAGCATGGATTTGTCTCCAAACCGAGTACCACCCCAAAAGCCGGCACCCCCCAAAATGAGTGGTTTCCCGTGGTTTTCCTTCAAACAACCCAATAAAAAGCTCCATACCCACATGCGCCTTCCTTGCCTTTCTTAGCAGATCCAGGACCGTTCGACTTTTTTGGAGGTAGATATTCTCTGCGACAGCGACACTTGAGCAATGAGATACTACATGATACTACTAGTGTGGCATGTTTGGCAGCTGCAACGCGAGGATTAGGAAGACAGTCTTGAAGACAGCACTTTACATCAATTATGGATGCACTGCAAGTGATTCACTCCAAGTTCTGAAATATCACGAACCGCTTTCAGCTAGCAAACTTTTGGCTTGCAGCTTGCAGATTGTCCAAAAGGCTAGGTAACGAGCGCGCCCAGTCTGTCTTATCAGCCAATTTCTTTTCGAACCCCCATAAGAAAACTGAGGCAACGCCGCCTTTCTAACGCAACAACCACCCACGTTCGAATCTTGCTCCGAGGCCCGGGCCGGAGGTTGTGGCAGTGGATAGCGAAGCGCTGCTGGAGGAGGCGTTGGGGAGTTTTCGCGGAGACCTAGGGGCAACCGACGGCTCCTTTTTCTTGGGAGATGTACCATGGTCAAAAGACCTGGGGTAGGGATGGGTATGAATCCGTTTGAGAGTTTAGACAGAGATGATTAGGATGGGGAACAAACGACCCCTTACTTGGGGTTTGTCATTAGTCATGAACTCTTTGGGACCTCTTGTGAAATACATGTTCAGGCGTTTTACACAAAATGGTTGAACCCGCCGCAAGATCGGGTCACCTATGCCCCCCTTATAGGTGGGTGCAACCCCCAGCCGAAAGGGGAATCTATGGGCATTTCTAAAATGGTTGGTGTCCCCTTTTTCCTCTAGTTGTGTGCAAATCATGACCATACGGAGTGTTTGTTATGAGTTATGCGGGTACCCCCTTGCGGGGCTGTTTGCCCACAAGGACTGTTTGCCAGAGGTGGCCTTGTTTGCTAGTTGTCACGATCTGATAGTCAAAAGACCTGGTTTTGGTTGTTTGGTTGCGAGGGATAGTTTCTCATTCTTTTGTTGGGGGTTGGTCAACCCCTTTGCAGGGATCTGAGACACTATGACGCTGGTTCGCAGTACGGAAGCCATGACCTATCAGACAAATGAGTAGTTTTGACCGTGGCACATTCATGGCGAACCCCAAAGTTCCCCAAAGAAGGGCTTTCTTGTGAATCGCCGGCGAAAACTGGGATGGTTTCAGAATGCGGGGCGGTGTCAAAAAGGGAGCCTCCTTTTGTTGGTTTACATGGAAGCTTAGAACAGCTTTGCCGCAACCATGGACGTTCCTTTTGGCTTTCCTTGAAACCAAGGTGAACAGTTTTCCCTGACAAAAATACAGCCAAGTTTCAACTGTAAATTTGTGGTCCAAAAGGACGCCGTTGGCGGCAGGGTTTTCGGCAAAGACGCCCAGAGAACCGGAACTCAACGACCACGACAAGAGACAGGCACTTGGAAAAACTGGTGGGACGCCGGTCGGTCAAATTTGGATTTCGAAGAAACAACACCTTTGACTTTCTCCAACGGAAGTCGACGTTTGGGGCCTTGAGGACTGTAGTCCAAAGCCCTTCTGTTTTGCAAATGATTGAGCAGAGGGTTCACATTTCGAGTACAATTATAGACCTAAGTTGTTCAAGATCTGCCTCCTTTGGATTCTTCCGGCTCAAACGGTGTGCCTGCAGGAGGATGTGCAGCCGCCAGACCTGCAGGAGAGGAAGGTGCTGAACCAGAGGCCTTGTTGCCGGGGGGGGGGCTGGAAGGGCGCGCTGGTTAGCATGTACTTGGCCTACATGCCAAAAATAAACGTAGATATGTTACATTTCGTCAAATAAACACAGACGGTATAGGTTCCCTTTCCGGATTCAGTGTCCAGGTCTATCCTATCCATGCACCAGCACCATCTATTCCTCCAAAGGATGGGGTGGAAAGGGAGGGTTTGAGAGGGGGAAGGGCTACACTTCTGTCGGGAAGGCAGCGGGCCTGGAACACGACGAAAACACCCCGCGGGGGGTTGGCATGCACAAGCCCTGGAAAGTAAAACCCGACATTAAGATGGTGGGGCATAAATTCCCGTTATGAGTAGCCGCCAAAGGGTTCCCAAATCAGGGTAAGTTGGGTAATCAAATGGTTTGCTCTCTTTGGCTTCCTTTAATCAGATACCTATGTTCTACCCTTCCAGCTTTGTTTGCAGCAATGGGTCTCTGAATTCGGTCTTGCTTGTTCCCGGTAGGAAACATGGGAATTCCAACCCCAAGCATTTGCAAGGATCCATGTCTGGTTGAAAGGGCTCAATCCTGAAAGGGTTTACTCTGTCCCCCTTGTAACCTGGTCGAAGAACCACCACCTTGAGTCCTTCAAAGGCCATCCTGCCCTTTCAGGGTCCTTGGGACTGATCCTGAAAGCACGTTTTTCTGGCCAATCTACTCAGGTTCAGTGTTTCCGGCTCAAGGGCCAACCGGAAAACCGGCAAGTGTCAACAATTGTTGGGTCCCTATTTGAACACGCCCCAGTTCTCGCAGAACTCCCCTTTCTTTTGAAGCGCGAAATACTTTGCGTGTTTTTTTTTTTTTTTTTTTAAATTGATCTTTTTTAAAACTTTGGGCACGCGGTCCCCTTTCTTTTGAAGCCGACACCCATCAGTGCGATCCAAATGCAAAAAATAACGAAAATAGTTTCCTTTTTGAAGATATATTTGTTGTTTGCGCGCGATTTGCTTTTTTATCATGCTTTTCTTTGGCCCAGGGGATGTTTCCCCTCAATCCGCGAAAATGCGTTTGGTTTTTGCCGCTTGCGTGAATTGAAGAAAAATACGAAAAATCTTGTCTGCGTGCCCACCCAAAGGAACTGCGAAAATAGTTTGCGACGTATTTAAATTAATATTTTAAAAAACTACGTGTTATTTTTAAACTTTGGGCGCGCGGTCCCCTTTTTTTGAAGCGCGAAATAGTTTGCGATTTTGATTTGTCCATTTTAGTCTATTTTACTTTATTGTTGTTTTTAAAACTTTGGGCGCGTGGTCCCCTTTCTTTTGAAGCCGACACCCACCAGTGCGATCCAAATGCAAACAAGACGACAAATGGTTTCCTTTTTTTGAAGATATATTTGTTGTTTGCGCGCGATTTGCTTTTTTCTCATTCTTTTCTTTGGCCCAGGGGATTTTTCCCCTCAATCCGCGAAAATGCGTTTGGTTTTTGCCGTTTGCGTGCAATTGAAGACAAATACGAAAAGTCTTGAGTCTGCGTGCCCAAAGAAAGGAACTGCTAAAATTGTTTGCGTTTAAATTCTATTTTTTAAAATCACCGTGTTTGTTTTTGAAACTTTGGGCGCTCGGTCCTCTTTCTTTTGAAGCGCGGAATAGTTTGCGATTGTATATTTTTGTAATTTGTTTTATTGGTTTTTGAAACTTTGGGCACGCGGTCCCCTTTCTTTTTGAAGCCGTCAAAAACCAGCGCGATCCAAATGCAACAAAAATGGAAAATGCGTTCTGATCAAGAATGGCTGGAATTTTGTGAGTTGGCCCAGGTAAAACTTCTGCCAAAAGAAGCCGTGATCTTTTGCAATGACTCACCCCCTCCACCCTCACAATGATTTGTTCTCTGCTCGCAGCTCCAGCGCTCAAACCGCTTCAAGGGATCTTTGCTTTCATCCAAGGCCAGGCGCCCGGCCGCCTTGTCTTTTTCGCAAGCGACGCTGGCGCAGGATGCCCAACGGATACGCGAAGATCAATGCGCCATGTTGCGCTGGCCTGAGCGGGGCTGCGTGCGCGTGTTCTTGACTTGAGCGCGCGCCTTCAAAGGCGAGCAGCTTCGCCAGCCCAACGGCGTGGCTTTCTTGCGCAGCGCTTAGACTCGTTCTTCTCGCAATAACACGGCGTCGTCCAAGGCAGCAGGCGCTGGTGGGAGATGGCTGCTGGGTTGAGGCAATTTTCAAGCCGAACCCCAGCAGCCATCTCAACGAGATCGAAGTCCGCCAGAAGCTCAGATGCCGTTCGGCTTGCGACAAGAGAGTCACGCGTTGCCCGAGGTTTTGGCCGCAACGGCTGGGAAGCCGTCGCCGGCCTGACGGACTTCGACGGCCGGCGGCGCGGCGGCGACGTGCAGCTTGGCTGCAAGACGCGGCTGAAAAGCCAAGCGTGTTGCTTGCCGCGCTGAGGCACGCCTACGTCCGCGTTTCGCCCGCAGCAGAAAGCTGCGCGGCAAGCGCGGTACGGACGGCGCTGCGAAAGGCCGTGGAGCTGGCCAACTCGCCGCCGGCCGCGCGCTAAGAGGCTTTCTTGTTGCGTTTTTTTTGAAGAACCCGTTTTAGGCCGCTCTGCCGCCGGGCTGGGAGTGTTCCACACTTAGCAAGGAACTTGCCTGCCTTGCCCTGTGTCGAGTATAACTTTGGCTGAGGCTACATAGACCCCGCAAACGGGGGCTCCTGGCACTGGAACCCCGCCACCGAAGAGTGGCGGCTCGTGTGAGCGGAGAAAGCGCGCGGTGAAGGGCGCTGCTCTCGCGAAACAGGCCTTTCTTGTGACGCAGGAAACATTAAGCGAATGTTTGCGCAAAGCAAGTCGGTGTTTGTTGTTCAGAGCGTGGCCCCTTGCCCCCGAAGCAGAAAAACCGCAAGGCAAGTTTTGCCGGCGCGAGCGGTCCCCTTTCTTTTGAAGCAGCGAAAGAGAGCGTTGAATAGTTTGTGTTTTACTTCTGCAATTATACGCTATAATTCCTTGGCGGAAAACGCGAAGCGCAGAGAAGACTTGCCCGGCCCTTGTCTTGCGAAGCAAAGAACTTACCGCAAAAAAGGAATCACGCGAAGCAATGTTGTTTGCCAAGAGAACAAACCGCCTAGTCCGTTTTCTTTGAAGCAGAAACATCGCAAGATCGCGTTTTTTTCGCGGAAACCGTTGCTCGGCCCCTCTTCTCTTGAAGCGACTCATTCCGCCAAAATCTCGCTCTTACGAAAGAATATTGTAGTTTTGCAGAAGCGAACGCCCCGGTCCCTTTCTTTTGAATCGAGCCAACTGCCGAACAATTCTTCTGCGAAACAAAAGCTTGGCGCCACGCATCCGCAAAGTTGTTGAGGAAGATCGCTCGCTTGTCTGAACAGGCGAAGTTCGAAGTTTGAACGACCGCTCCTCGTTCGCAGCTTTTCGCAGCCCAAACGTTGCTTCGGCTCGCGTTTTACCATGACGTCGTGCCCGTCGTGATCTCAGACAGACGTTGCGAGCGTCATCATTTGAGCCACTGTCACACTCAGGCTCTGGGCGTATCCGGTGAAGCTTTTGCAGTGCGACCTGTCTTTCTTTGTGTCTGAAGAAGGGCATGCCCAATTCGACGCCGTTTTCTTCACACTGGGAGGCGCGGGCTGTTCAAGACAAACGCTCAAGGCTGTTATTGCTCGATGGTGCCAGGAGAGCGCGTTCTGAAAGGGCGCAGCGGAGGAAGTCGCTGGGGCTTTCCAATAAGCTGGGACGAAGTAGTCTATTTTGCTCGCCAGGAGTTGGGCGAGCGTGTGCGAGTTTCACTGGTTGGCAAAACCAAGCCGCTGCCAACGAACGCGCTCATTTTACACCCGTTGTGGGACGAAACCCTCCGGCTGCGTGGCAAAATGTCCCGGCTGCAGCACGTGCAGCAGTGCTTCGAAGCGAATTTGGCAGCGCTGAAGCGCGACGAGTTGCCGCACGTTTCACCCTTTGAGCCCATCGTGTGCGAATAGCGAAAGAAGCAAAAAGAAGAAACGCGCGAAGCGACAACATTCGGAAGAGCTTGCCGCGCCAACCGGCTACGGTTGTGCAGCAGTTTAGCGTGCGCTGCGTGACGTCTGTGTCATTCCGCAGCCGCGAATGTTCAGAGCGAGCCGCCTCCAACGTCCTGCCCAGGACCAAAAGTTGTGTTTTTTGTTTCAGCGTCTTTCACGACCTTCAGGACGTCGAGGAGTGACAGGCGGGAAAACACTTGTCTCAAAGCCTGTCGTCGCGGCAGCTGGATCAGGATTTTCTATGGTCGTTGCCAACTTGATCATGGCGGAGGCTTCGGACAACTTGTCGCAAACATTTTTCTTTGCGATTGCTCGACCGAGGCATCTCGCAGCCAGCGCGTCTCAGGGTGGGCCCGACAAAGTTCAAGCTTCGACTGCTCCGCGGCCTGCTTTTCTTGCAGGCCGCGCACAGGTTGTGCGATTGGGCCTCTGTGCAAACGTGGGCGGATTCTCCTTCGCCCGACGAACGCACGCGAAGAGGGAAAGCTCTTGCTGCGCATCAAGCCCGAGGCGGGCAATGCCGTGTGCAGCAAACAGTCAGCTTGAGTCAGCCAACACGTCCAGAACGTGGTGTCCGCGATAAACGATTTTCCAAAGTGGCTCCCCGTGCACTTCAGCAACGCCGGCGTTAAGGCGCGCAGCGCCCTGGAACCCTTGTGCGCAATTCGCTCCTCGCCTCGCTCGCTTTCTCAGATCACCCGGAGCAGACGGAGCAATGTCGTGCTGTCAGTGGGGTTCTTCGGTGGCGCGGAGGAGCAGGCGCTGCGAGACTGTCGTTGGAGCGGCAGCAAGTCAGAAGTCCTAGGCGCGCAGCGCGGGAGAGCTGGCAGATTGCTTGAAATCTTCTCCTTTTGAGCCCTCGCGCTCGAATTTTATTGTGCCGGTTCGAGTGTGGGCGAGGAAGCGCTCCAGCAGAGAATGCGAACCCTTGGTGTTCCAGGAAAGGACCGCGCTTTGCGAGAGAGAAAAGGCTTTGCGTGTGTAACCAGTTCAGTGTTCTTTGTTCACCAGCGAGGGACACAAAGTCAAGGCTTGAAGATGTGACAATCACTTTGCTCTGCGAGCGGCGCAGCCGTTGGCTTGTTCGAAAATTTTGCGTGACGCGCAAGAAGGACAGCTGCGTCGTGATCATGGCTGCTTCGAAATTCATGTTGGCAACCGGCTTGAGGATCCGAATGGAGAACGCCCGAGGCGGGCGACCCGCTCGCAAGCAGCCGTGCTGCGCGTCTTTCTCCGGCCAAACTTCAGCCAAGATGCTCAGCTCGACTTGTCGGAGGCGCGGGCAGAACAAGGAAAAACCAGCTTTTTGTGAATGACACACAGGCTGCGCAGCGCAGCCTCTGCCTGGCTTGGCCGCGGGTCGGCGACCGTGTCATGGTGACCAAGGAGTGCTGGTTGGGCTTGATCTTGTCTGGGCGCAAGACGATTGAGTTGCGGCGCCGAAGCTGCGAGAGAGGCTCGGTGTGGTTGGCCCACAACGGCCGTGTCAAGGGAAGAGCCTACGTCGCCGACGTCTTTGTCATGAACAGCGAAAGTTTTGAGCGCCTCAGGCCGCAGCATTGCTGGCAAGGCCAGCAGCCGTACTCCCCCGTTACTTACGGCCTCCGCCTGGAAAGCATCGAGTTGTGCCTGCAAGACATCCCTTACTGTCGCCTGCGCGGGGCCATCAGCTGGAACGTTTTTCGGGAAAGCCCGGCCGACTTGCCACCGAAGAAGTCATTTTCTTGTGCAAGCGTTCCGCGCGCTTTGCCTTCAGGCTGAAATATGGCCTGGCTGCCCTTGCGCTCCTGGCGACGCTGGCGGTCATCGGCCGCTTGGTGGCAATGGCAGACAGTTGGCCACTTCTGTCGCTGCAGGCAATGAATCACTTCCCCCTACAGTTCCCTGTTCAGTCGATACATTTTTTCTTGCTTGTTTTTTTAGGTCGGCCTCTTATAGGAACTTAGTGGGATACCCTACGTGGGCGTTGGGGGGGTCTTTGGAGGGGTGGTTCCCTGAACAATTTCCCCCAGGCGTTTGATAGGGTATTAGGGGGCCCTCTATTGTGCGGGCTTGTTGGCGAAAGATGGTGAAGCACTTGAGCAACTAATGAGGCTAACCCCGACCTCTTCAGGCCGCGCCAGGTTGAAATATGCAAGCAAAAACATAAAGCCGCGCTGGGCCGAGGAAATTGTGACGGAACTTATGGATCCGGATCCCCACGATACTCACGCGAACTTCTTTACTGTATGAATCCAAGCATGGCTCTCTTTGTTCCCCACAAGTGATACCATCCTGGAGTACCCGAGGGCTTGATTCAACTCATCTGGATCACATTGGGCTCCCTTGTTTGACTTGTCCACAGTGTTTTTACTGAAATTCATACCCGTCAAATCCGTAAAATGGCAAATATAAATCTCCACGACGGCTCAGCGAGGCGCCGGTCACCGATCCGAGCCCAGCGTGGCCGAGCTGAAGGCGCAGGTGCAGGACTGGGAGCAGATCCCAGGCGCGAGAAGTTGCGATGAGCTAACGCGGGAATTCGATCTTCAACTGGCTGTCCTTTCTTGTAGACCATAACCTGACCAAAACTGGTTGCCACACAATGAGAATGGCTTCAAAATTGGGGGATCTCACAGGTTGGTTCTTTCTGGTTTCCTCTTACATCCAAGCAAAAGGGGGTTCCCGCAAGAACACGACACACCCAAATACGTCTCTGTGGGAAAAGGCCGCTGAGCCGCCAGGCATCGACGAGGTGGTCGAGCACGCCAAGGGGCTGGAGCTCCAAACCCCTCGCCTTTTGGACGGAAGTTGGGTAGGGTGGGTCCAAGAGGTGGGTCTGGGGGGGGGGGTTGGGGAATGGACTGGCGGGTGTTTCTTTAAGAAGGACTCGGTACCCGAGTTGCAAGGGGAGGCCAAAAGGAAGACACAGGGGAAAACATGGGGCTCCCCGTTAAAAAAATGACCCTATTTTTTTGGTTTCGCGCTAAACCCGAAAAGCGGAGGACGACCATTGTGTTGATTTTTAACCCCGGGTCCAAGAAACCCACGACGTGCCAGAATGATAGGAAGTGCAAGCATGTCTCTGATTCACAGCTTGGACCAGACCATGGAGAATCCTTGATAGGATGAGATTCACTCGCCAAATGGCTCCTCGACCAAGCTCGATTGCCACTTTGGGCATCCCTTATTTCAGGTTGGGTCAACGGGTCCTCTGGTCAAGATTTCGTTTGCGGGACATGGAGGGCCTCATCAAATTTCACCCGCCACCAGGCGACTCACAAGATTTTCTGATGTCCATTGAAGCAGCTTATTTCGACTGTGGCTGATGGGTTCCGCCGCAAGCACCACCCTGTCGACTTGCTGTGGGTGCCCCTTCTCAGGTGTCTGGCGGAAACATATAATTGATAAGACTTTATCATTATTTGCTGCTGTGATCCCTAAACCGTTCGTTTGTGTTTGTATATATGTTAATTTTCTTTTGTCGCATGGTTTTCCAAGTATCCATAACATATACAGAGGGCGAGAAGCCATCGCAGGGGTTGTTGTTTTCAAGCCGTGTTGCACCAATGCACGAGCAACGCTGGTCGCCCCCTGCATGCCAAAGTCAACTGGGCAGCCAAGCCAACCAACCCACTAACCCAATCAAAGCCAACCTTTGTCCAACGGTACTCTCCTGCAGAAGAACATCCTCCTCGGGGACCCTTTTTGGGGGTTCCATGCTAATTTGCAGAGCCAACTTCTTCACACAGAATATGCCTCCTACTAATCTCACGTATCCTCCAGTCCACCTCAAGTCAACCTCCAGTAAATACCCCCACCCCCCTAACCCCGAGTATGCCCCAGTCAACCCCCAAGAGCTGGCTGAGGGCACCTGGAGGATTTGTTCTACGGCTCGCAGCCCACGGAGCTGCCGTGGATCCGCACGGAGTGCACCATCGACGTGGTGCAGGCCACCGCGTACCTGGGCCAAGCTGTGGTCTTCCTCTACAAGGCCTAGTCGGTCGATGGGGCAAGGGGAGGAAGGGGTGGGGAGAGGGGTTGGGGATGTGTTGGAACGAAAGGTGTTTCGTTCCGCCTCGTGGGCGATGACTCCTGAGTGGATGAAACCCTAGGAATACTGAGACAAAACAGCGATCCATTTGGTGCAGCACATGTGAAGGTCCTTTGCATTGAAGAGAAACGGACTTGGGATCCGTGCATCTCGCGGGGTACAAGCCAATCAGCTAATCAGCTAATACGTGCTTTCACTGGGCCCGGTCCCACTTCCAGGGGAGCACCGCATGTCCTTCCGAAAGGTTTGAGCCGCCAGACCATGACTCGACCTCTTGCAGAGACACTGGCGGAGAATATTCAAAAATCCAATCCTGCTTGGTGCGCAATTCCTGCAGTTCGGCCTAGTTGACTTCCTGAAGAGGCCGGCACGCAGCAACCCAGTGGTTAGCATTTCACTGGATGTGTGTGTGCGTGTGTGTCAAAGTGATGTGGACATTCGTCGCGATTCCCTTGTGCTCCGTTCCCCAGGTACTTGCCTTATCGCTCCCTGATTTCCAGTTGCTTTTTTCTGATTTAGCACCCCAAAAACAGGCTCTCTGGTGGCTCCGTTTAGAGATTGATTGGATCTCGTCAACTTCAGAATCCTGGCAAACGGCCGGCGCTCCTTTCGCTCCATAAACAAGGTTTCAAGGCCACCAAGGCTGTTTTTAGGTTGCCAGCAAGAGAATAGGCTGTGGAGAGTGTGTTAGTTTTTAGGTTCCCACTTTGTGTAATACCCAACAAATGCCCTTGAAAGTGGCGGGAGTTTTATATAGGGATGGCCGATCTCGTTATGCAGAGAGCTGCCTTTTCACCATGCTTCCCCTGGGAAAGCCTGTAGCGTTGACACTTTGTGCATTTCGTGGGAACACCTTTCCGTCGCCAGTCCATCGACTACCCTGGTCTGCGTTGTCCAGATGACAGCCCAGCAGGCTGGCAAAACCAACCGGTGAGCGGGAAATGTTCCTGCCTCGAAACGGTCGGATGACACCTCGCCCCAAATATCGCAAGGGTGTGGTCTGCTCATCTCAGCGGGGCGGATTCCTAATGCTTTCAATATGTGTTGCACTAGCGTTCCGGTACCTCTTTGTCAGCTGGGGGGCTGTGGACATTTTTTGGTAGTGTTGGCAACTGGCAACAAACGAACAAACAAACGAACAAACAAACCCCCGAATCCAGGCTACATCTCAGATGCGGGTCCCGCTTTGGAGGGCAGTTGCCAAGCTTCCTTGTTCAAGAGACCCCTTTTGTGGGGTACTTCAAGGGAAACCAAGCCCACACCGATCAAGGACAAGTCCAATCACTGTGATGTCCCCTTTCGCGTCTCATGTTTGGCCGTGTTTTGTTTGTTTATTTAGTTGAATGGAACTCTCCCGTTGTGGCTTCTCAAGGGCACCTTGGGGTCAGCTTTGAAGGAAAGAGCATTCTAGTGGAATGGCTTTCTAGGCTGCCACAAGTCAAAACAATGGGTTGGCGCAGAAGCCCTCGAACTACACCCGGAGACCCAAACTGTTTCGTGCAAAAGGACGGCTATCTTTGGAAATTGCCAACAAGTAACACGCCAGGGGAATCTCAGCGTATTTTCCGTAAACAAAACCAACCTGGAACTATGCACCTGTGAAGCCTGAAGCATGCGCTTGTCGCAGTCCCTGTGATCAGGATCTGGGACGAGGAGTATTTATTTTAAGAACCATGGATATTTCATCTGATGTCCTATTCGTCACTTGCACCCCTGTTCCGAGCTAAGGATTCAGCAAAAGCCAAGGTTACCGGTCCAAGAGGGCAGTGTGCGAAGGCAAGGGCCGGTACAGTGGTGCATACGCTCGCAGGCTGTGCTGCAAGCGTGGCTGGATTCATTACTTCCATCACCTGGACTCTCGGCTGATATGAATGTGTCTATGTTGGGGAACCTGCCACTCCGCTTCAGCTCAGCCCACCCCTGCCCTCGCGCGCGCTGAGCCCGGCCCTGGGACCTCAGGATCGCCTCGTACCTGTCCTTTGCTGCCAACGCCTGCGGCCAGTCCGTCAGGCCTGCGGCGCTGTGCGCCCCTTGGCTTGAACGAGGTCTCGCTCCCGGTTTTGGCTCTGAGAACCCTAGGCTCAGATTTGGGCGGCTCTAGGTCGGGTTGGGTTCCCGGTTACCTCTCGCGCGAGGCTGGGGACTGGACAGCGCTGATGGCGAACTTCGGAGAGATGGCCACGGTGGGGGCGGCGGTGAAGGAGGATTGCGACTTTGGGAAGGCCAGGACGGCGACGACCGTTGGGATTTGATTTCGATTTCGGTGCCATGGACAAGGCCAAAACCCTGACCCCCCCCCCCCGCCAACTCCTTTTTTGTTTTTTTTGTTTTTTAATAATGGAGCATAGTCTGCCAACTGGTTGTTGGAACTGCATCGTTATGTGGAGGGGGGTGCCATGGTTAGAGTGGATTTTGCAGGTTAGAAGCCCGAAAAAAAACGCAAAACACAACACCCCAAAGGAGGAGGTTGGCCGGAAGAGGGCTGGTGGGTTGTGTGGGGCAAGCGAAGTCGGAAAAATAACCACTTAACCTTGATCGGTTATGTTTATTTTCTTGACGACTCCGTGATCCCCATTTAGGGTGGGATAATCGCCCTTATCCGTGTTTGGCTCACTGAGCGGTTAGAAGCCCATGCTACAACCCACTCATAGGTGGTGTAGGCCCTCCTGCGGTTTGCCTAGTTTGCCAGCTGGCCTGGCCCGAACGAGCACGAGCTGTGGATTTGGAAGATTTCTCAACTCAGCCTTGACTCGATTTGATTTGGTTGGGAAGAAATAGTTGACTCAGGTTGAGTCAACTGTTTGTCCTGGATTAGCTGGCAGGAGGACTGTGAAGACTCCGCATGCATGACCGAAGAGGAGTTGAGTTTCGGATTGTTGCAAGGAGGAAAACTTAAGCATTTCAAGATATCAGGCATGTGTTTTCAGATATCGGTTGTGTGGGTTGTTTTCAGCGGAAGACACGAGGAGATCACGTATTTTGCAGACGTTTCGGTGGACATCTTCACGCGACAATTTGTGAATCGCAGCAAGTTTTGAAGGCAATTCCCCAAAAGCTTAGCCTCTTTCCAATGATTGTGAAAATGGGAAAGAAACCTCTTCGAGATGATGACTCCTGAATGCGCGCACTTCCTGGCGTGCAACCTGCATCTGTTGAAGGTCGTGATGATCAGTACCAACCTCCCTTATCCCCATCTTCATCCTTATGCTCATGCTGTCGATGAACATGAATTGGGAACCCCCTCAAGACTCAATACGTGGTTGGGACATAAATCCACCAAAGCCCCCCATTAAGATTCATATCCTCCGGATGCTCATTCTTACTTCTTATGCTCCCTCATGCTCATTTCGGGGGGGGGAATCTTAGAACGGTTCTCAATTCAGTTTCCCTTTAAAACCCCGAAAAGGGGTATCCTCAACACGCCCTCATGCTCGAAGATCTCAGGACTGGAAGTCCATATTGGACCTGGAAAAGGAGCCCGAGACCATCCCCCACGAGTACTGGCTCCATTTCGAGCCCAAGATCGACTCCGAGCATAGAGATACTTTGTGCCTTGGGAAAAGCGAACGGCGCACCGCCGCAGGTTGAGATGATCTGACAATCTTGGAATCGTTTCAATGGTCTTGGGTTTCCAGATGCTTTCAATCTTGCTCTTGCAGGGAAAAGCAGGGCAACACACTAGGGGGACCTATTGAACGGGATCCAATTTTCACGTGTTCTAGAAGGCTTGCTTGTGCAGGACAATGTGTGGAGCATGCAAGAGAAACCCAGTTGCTACCCATTTAGGGTCTTGAGTGAGAATTTGTTTGAATCTTTTTGGGTTTGGGTGTTCTTTTGCATGGGGATGAGTTGCTGGTTTGCAAGTCCAAGCAGTCAGGGCAGCCGAAGCGGTGGATTTCCGCACCTGTCAATTTCAGCGCAGCAGTCAAGTCCGTCTTAAAAGAACTTTGGCCATCATCTACTTGGTCTTTTCGCATAATCCGGGTTTTCGAGGAGGTTTCTCGGCTCCCCAGTTTCGACCACCTGTCACAACAGTCTACCAAACACACGGGTGAGTGTTTTTGAGGGTAGCCTTTCCAGGTTGGTTTCAAGGGCAACCAAAGAGAAACCGCCATTTGTTCGGTTCCCCAATTTCTTGACGCACACCCACATATTGGTTTCTTGTCACTCCAACCTGAGGTTCCTCCGATGCCTGCGCCCCGTAAAGCCACGTTTCCTGGGCTCTCCGGCGGTCTGCGCGGCCATTTTCCTCAAAAACCAACGATGGCCCATCAAAAAATCCGATGGCTAAGGGCATTTTGTCTGCTCAAGTACCTGCCAGATTTTCAGGCAAGCTCCCCAATTCGGGGAGAAACACGAGCTCACCACGTAGGCGAAGGGGATCCAATTCCTATTTCGGGTATGTAGGATTCGCTCCAACTCGATTTACCTCTTTGTTGCGCTTCGTTGTCCCAAACAAGAAACCAACTAGTCACAGTCCAACCAGCTGAAACCATGGCTTGGGGGATTCTGAACCTGCTAAGGAGAGACGAAGCCCCCCCTCCAGAAAGGTTCTTAGACTCCTAAGAAGCCCATTCCTTGGCGTGGCGGGCCCTTTGCTCCGAGGGGGGCTAGGTCCTCCTTTTCTAGACGGGACAAAGAAGAACAAGGCGGACCTACTCCTACCCTCAACCCTAACCCGACCCTAACCCTAATCCTAACCCTGGTCTTAGCCAAGCTTGAACACAGGCTTGACCTTTGTTTTTGGCTCCAACCTTTTCCCCCATAAATAATTGCCGCAATCGACCCCAGGTTGAAATGGAAAGGCTTCCAAACCGCTCACCGGAACCGGAACTTCGACGTGGCCCAGTGCGTTCCTCGCTGCCGAAAGCCGATGTCGAACAGTCTGTCCCCTTGGGAGGGTCTCATTTGGGTCCAAGAGAGTCTCACACAGCCAAAACACATTGAACAATATATAGCTGACTGTCTGGGTTGGGACGGATCGCGATGCCGCAAAGGAGCAGATGACCAGACAAGAACTCTTAGCGAAACGGTTGCAAAATGGAGGCTTCCAATCACCGGCCAGCTAAAGAAAACTAGGGGTGCCCATATTTCTCCTTTTGGGGCCATTTCTTTGAAAGGCGAATATGATCTGAACACCGCCCTTGGCAGGTGTGTTGTATTGGGCGATGTTATTTAAGCGGGAACGTTTGGCCAAGATATGACAACAACGGGATTTGCTTTGCGACCGGTTTCACGCGTGAAGGTTCCTCTATTGGGGGTCCATGATGGTCCATGTCTCAATTCAGGTTGAAGGTGAATGACCCCCTTTGTGGTGTTAAAGGGATACCAGGAAAACCACCATTTTGGGGGTCTTCAGAACCTGGGATTCCTCTAAAACCATTTTCAATTGAGCCCCCGACTAAAAATCAACATGTTGACCCCAGAAGATATCTCGTCCAAAATCAGGGCGTCCCGTTTTTGTGGAGGTTCCTTTCTTCCAGGGGAAGCCTCTGATTGCAATTGGGAGGTTTATTGATCAACATTATTTTCCCTTCGCCCAGGGGAACCGGAGAGGCGACACGTTCTGCGTGTACATGTTTGTTTTCAATAGGTACCCCAAGCTTTGGACAGTTTGAAAAGGGAATCCAGAGGGAAAGCGACAGCCGACAGTCTGTCTTTAAGTGTGGCGTTCCTATTGGTTTTCCTTTATCACCACAAAACAAGGGGTTCCTTCAAAACACGATACGCTCATTTGTTTGGGGATCCCCGCGAATCGAGGCAAAGCCTTCCTGAGACTGTCCGTGGTTTCGCTTGCCTCCCAGGAGGCGTTTCTTCATCCGAAAGACGAACATGGGGTGATGGTGATACCTTTGCAATGGTTGACATGCCCTCCCCATTTATTCCTTTTTTTGGTTAAGAGGTCGGGTCTCGTGAAGGGGGTCAAAGGGACTCCAACCAGGAAATCAACAGGGAAACCGCCAGGGAACCAACAGAGAGCCAACATGGAAACCATGTTGCGGTTTCCAGGTAAGCCACGATGCTTAAAATACGCAGTTTCTGGAAAATCGAAACATTCCAATTGTGGAAAGGTGGCGGACAGGGCCCGCTTGTGGAAAGGTTTGCCAGCTTTTCGGACATGAGCATTCAAACAAATAGTGTCATCCCCCCCCGAAGAAAAGGGGTCTATACTGTTTTGATCCTTGTCAATCTACACTTATACCGACAGCAAAGTCCGCAACCCGGTTGGAGGAGCGGTCAAGATAAAGCCCCATGCCGCCCTTGGAAGGGGGTCAGCACCCAGCAAGTTTTATCATGACTGCGTGAAAGTGATGCTCTCAACTCCGCCTTTTGCTGGTAAGGATTCCAGCCCCCGAATGTCATTTTGAGATATGAGAGCCCAAGTTCACTTCTAGCCCTAGCAAACAAATTTGCCCGAAGTGGGGATTTGAGGAACTCCGCTCCTAAAGGTAATTTGAGGAACTCAAAGGCCTCCGTTCAGGAACCTGATGTTTTTGGTGTTTTTTGGCGCTTAAACACCACTCCTTCAAATCAAACACAAACAATGGCTGCCACACAGCACATGTGTTGTTTATTTTCCCGATCAGGACACCAAACGGCGATGGTTCATTATTAATTTCCCGATGACCCCCTCTTTCGCACAGGATACGCATCCAGTTCCACTTGAGTTCTACTTTTGTTCCAGCCCCTTTTTCGTACCCATATATACCTAGAATATGTCCACCAACCACGGTGGGGCTAACTCAGAGGTCGCTTCTGCGACCCAAAAACGGCGAGGTCTTCGACGTCACCAACTCGGCCTCCTACATCGTGCGGGCGATTTTGCAGATCCGGTCCGCGGCACTGGCGTGCCCGGAGCCGAGGGCCTGCGCCATCAACATCATGCGCCTCGTTTCCTTTATTCTTTTGTTTCTTTGTTTGAGGGTTTTTTTTTTGGGGGGGGGGGTTGCGGTTTTGGGGTGGGGGTTCGGTGGGTGTGTTTTGCGGGTTTGGAAGTGGGCCCAGGATGAAATCGCCCCTGGTTAGTTTCATTTTTTTGCGGAGCAACTCATGTTAGAGAGAATCCGGATTGTGGGACACCCAATGGGGTCTGCTCCAAAATGCAAAGGTTTTGCAGGTTGGCAGGCTGAACATTCTGGCAATGTAAGTACCCTGGTCTTGGGCCAAGGTTTGTGGGCGGGGCGAGTTGGTGAGGGGCAGGGGGCGGAGAGAAATGGGAAGCGGAGAGAAGGGGGGAGAACAATAATGGAGGAAAAGGAATACGGAGAAAACAAGGGGGGGAAAGTTCCTCGAAGGCGGGCACCCCTCTTCGGCTTGTCAAAAGCACCCCAAGTAGACCATGGACCCTTTTAGAGGGAACCTAAATGAACATGTTCAAGCAATCATTGTTTCTGCGTATGTTCTGGCGACCTCACCTCGGGATCAATCGGGCTCACTATGAGGCTCTTTACTTGGGATCCCTTCAGGTCTTGGACTAATAGTTCTATCCTTCTTTTCACCTCTATTTCCCATTCATTTGTTGGGATTATTAGGTTAGAGAAGATATAGATGGGAAATAGATATGAGGTGAAAAGATGAAAAGAAGAACTCCAAAAGAAAGGAGCAATAGATGAAACGTGGATGAAAAGATAATGGCCAACTCCTTCTCCAGGCTATGCCGTAGGATTCTTGGGAGTTGGAATGAAATGAACAAGTTAAAGAGATAGCGAAAGGACAGGAATAAAGACGCTAGGAATGGATTATGCAAAGATGTCTATCCACCATTTTCTATCTCCTTCATTTGGAGTCTTCTGGAGATTGAACATGAAGGGACATGAAGCCTGAGATGACAGGCGTGTCCAAGATACAGGAATTAACAGATTTATTTCCAGGCTTTTATCTCTCTTTCCAGAGTTTCAGAAAAGAAGGGAAGCTGAGTGGCTGAGAAGAAAGCCTTTCCGTAGCTAAAGTCCTTGAAACGAGGGAAAGGTCTGGTGGCGATTAACACCTGTGTTTAAAGTAACAACTGCAAGCGAAAGGGCTTGAACCCGCACTTGAATTGGAATGTCAAGTGCCGTGCAATGCATGTGATGAATGCATATGTACCGATCGCCATTTTGGCGAAAATATCTTTTCATTTTTCCTGACCTGCCCTGGACCTTCAGCCATGGCCGCACCTTCGGGCTTCAGCGACGTCGTGCAGCAGTACCAGCTTTTGGAGATGACCGAAGTCGCTTCCGACTATGAGCGCCGGCTCTCCACGCTCACCTCGCTGCCTTGCCCGAAGCCGTCGGCGTGGGCAACATCCTCTAGGGCAACCAGGTCTGCACGCGCTTTGTGCGCCACTCCAGCTGCAGAGGCCGCTCACCTACCTCCGATTTCGTGCGCGGCTTCCTGCGCCCGGGGTTCGTTTCGGGGCGTTGGACACCCCGAGACAACATTTGCTACCGGCACCTTCGCCAACGAGGCCGACACCTCGACGCTTTGTGCAACCGACACGACGCATGGAGACCTACTGGCCTGGCTCCGGTTCGTTCACCACTCACGACCTAACGCGGGGCCGGTATCCACTACGACGCCACCACTCATGAGTGGCGCTTCGTCGCCCGGCAGGAGGCATACGAGATCCTACGCGACCACCAGTACGCCGAGTGGAACCCACCCACACACCTCCGCTGTCAGGCACCCGGCGTGGGCAGCCAGCCATCGCCGGGACCACACCCCTCGCGCCACGAGGGATCGCTCCATGCACTCGGGTTACGCACGGCCTGTCTCAGCATCGTCCCGCGACAGCACGACCCAGCAACTGGCCGCCGGCCACGGCACAGCAACCAACCACCGACCCCAACAAGATTCCCACACCGCGGTCACAACAGACACCTGCCCAGCCACGACCCACGACACCTACGGCGCGGACACCCCGGACGGCTCCCGCACGGCAGCCAACCGCGAGCTGGTCCAGTGGCTGCTTCCACAGACGACTGGTCGGGTACTCACAGATGACCTCCTCTATGCTGCAGAGCTCGTGCTGGCAAGGCCAACGCAGACTATTGGGCGGCTTGAAGGACGGGGTTCAAACTTTTGAGAGATGAAGTTATCTGACCATCAAATCCTGTGTAGCGGGGGCCGGAGTCATGTGGAAGCAGACATCTGACCATCAAATCCTGTGTTGAGGGGGTCGGTTTCATAGAGGGGTGCATAGTGAGAGCTGCGTGTCGGGCGAGAAAAAGCAGCTTTGCAAGCGTTCGTCTGGGGCACGTGAAAACCAAGCAGCGCAGTGCAATTCACCCTGTTGCTATGCTCCTGTAAACCTGCTGGGCACACAGAGGTTGTTTTGCTTCAGCAAACCGCACAGAGCATGACCGCAGCTGCCAGGCATCGCGGGGGCCTGTGTAATGTGCAGACGTGCAGCTGGTGGAGGCCAGCCCAGGCTGGTAATATCATTGCGCCCTTGGACGCTTTTCTGAATTGATGCTCGTGGGAGGAGCCTGGTCCAGATTTTGTGGCACAAGACCTATCAAAGTACTTCGACTCTGTGGATGTCAACTGCGCCATGGCAGAGAAAATCGGGACACCAGCCTAACCCTGCGTGATGCCTTTTCGAACCCATCGCCTACTTGGCGATTGCAGGTTGCCCTGCTTCACCTTTCATTGGCATGGCGAGGGACAGGATGCTGTCTTTTTTCAAGACCGCATCTTTTTCCTGCAGATCGCCTTGTGCGTGGCCGTGCGCTCAGCGAGGTCTGCCAACGTAGTGATCACTGGCAAACGCCAGGTGGCGCACCTGGCGATAATGAGCTTGTTCAGGCAGTTGCCCAAGATTTTGTCTATGAAGCGGGGAAGAACATCTTCGGAGTCTACGCTGAAGTTGGCCAACTTCGCGTTCGCTTCTTGGAACTTTCCGCGCAAGCAAACGCCGACCCAAAGGCCTTCTTGCATTTGGTGGCAAAGTGCTCATGAAGGACTACCCTGCGTCCATTCTGTCGCAACTGCTGGTGTGGAGATTCGGCCCGGTCTTTGCTAGTCAGTGGGCTGCGCAAGTGACGTTTCAAGCAAAGAGGGTGGCGCCTCCAGATTTGCGCCATTGGCGCGGATGACTCTCTCCTTTAGCGGGAACGCTCACCGCGTCGAGGCGCTGCGTGCGTGCCAACACATCTAGAAGTCTCTCCATCGCCAGGACCAGGCTTATTGAGTCGTGGCTTGGATGTTGGAAGGAGTAGCGGCGGGGTCACTTTGTTACTGTTTTCCCGCAGGCCGCACCAACCAACCGAGTTTTTGCGAAGGTGGTGCAGGAAGCCCCTCAGTCTTGGACTACGTTCGGGTCTGCGCCAACCTTGCACTCCCTGGTGCCACTTCGTTCTTTTCGTTGGCAAGGCTACTCAAGTCCTCGACTGGTGCAGGTAGACCAGTTGCTCAAGGTTTGCTGCAGAAGAACAAGCTCCATGTTGGGCAGAGGTTGAAGCCCTGCATGCTTGTTGCTGTGGCGGCGCTGTCGTGGGCCCGTGGAATAGGCCTTGTTTGCAAAATATTCATTATCCTTTCGGACTGCAAGGCGGCTAGCGCTCGCACAGGGTGTGCTTGGCTCCACTCCTTTGCCGGGGCGCAGGGTACCTTCGCGGCAAGGTCGTTCAAGGTTGGCAACCCCCTTTTGGCGTAGGTCAAGGTTGCTCTACGCCACCGCACTTTCTTGGGTTGAGGTAGTTGGGGCGCAAAGAGCTTTGACAGGATTTTTGTGTGGTTGCACCCTGTGGCTCACCCCAAAACTTGACACTTGCAGGAACATCATCTCCTCCTTCGCGTGGATCTCCCAGTTCACGGCACTCGCCGTGTCCGACTGCTCCAAATATGGCAGCCAGAATGCCGCTCGCCGGTTCTTTTGTTGGGGGGGGGAAGAATGAGAAGCAGCGTCCAGCTCTATTTTCCTTGATGGCTGTTGCTTGTGTAGCCTCAAGGAATGTGGTTCTCACAAGGCTTTGGATATGTTTTGTCAACAACAAGGGGCCTGGAGGGTTTTATGCTAAGGGGCGGAGCTTCCTTTGAGCTGGTTTTGGAGGGGACAATTTCCGTGCCAGACTTTGAACAACCGGTTGCCAAACCAGAGGCTCACTAAGGTTTACGTTTTCACCTTGCGAGCCCACACTGAGGTTGTAGCGTGGGAGACGGGAACACCTCCCTGTTGGTTGGCAAGCTATTTGATGGATCTTTCGACACTTAATTTGTTGGGACTGAACATTTTCCCACCAAATGGGAAGTGTCAAATTCTTGGCGCAGGGCTCAACCAGACAAACAACCCATGCCTTGTTTTCTTTCTTTAGGGGTTTCCTCTTAAGAAGTCAACTAAACCACCGACCGAATCTTTGCCCGTCAAACTTTAGTGGTGGATCTGGGCGAGTAGGTCATGCACGGTGTGCTCCGTTTCCCTTGAAAGTGACACCTCCAAAAGCGACGTCCGGCAGCCCTCGAGGCCCTTTGCGCCGCGGACATCAGTGACATGGTGGCCGCGGTGACCAACGGCCCCGCCGCGGGGGTGGCGTCCACCTCGGACTGTGCGGATCTGCCGGACCCGGAGGACGAGCTCTTCGGCCGGAGGGGTTAGGGCCTCCAAAAAGGACACCCATACAGGGGAGAGTCTTTCTCCCAGACCTCCAAGTCTGGTCCCTTGCTGCCAGAAAAAGTGCGCCTTTGTTACCCATTGCCACTGGGGGTCTGGGTTTTCAGGACGGCTCTCGATTGGCTAGCATGGCTGTGGGAAATGGGTTTCCGAGGGCCGGGTCCGAACATCGGTTACCCTCCCACCCCCTGACTCATTTCACATCGTGGGGAGGGGTGGGGAGGGGTGGGCAGGGGGGGGGTTCCTGGAACCCCAGTTTCCTTCAAGAAGCATCCACTGGTAGGTTCTGTTTTTTTATTCTGTTTGCCACTTTGTGTGATATCCAGGAAATTCCCTTGAGGGTGATAAAGTCATGGGAAGCCGCTTTGGTATCACAAAAACAGTTAGTTTTCACAACCATGCGTCCCTCGAAACCAGGGAACACCAGAAGGCTTCCGAAGATTTCACAGGGGCGTCCTATGTACCTCTGGGGTAATTGAAGCATCGCTCTTGGGGTTTGATAGGAGTTTCCTGGTGTGATGTTCAAAGGGAGCACATGAGGAACCCTGCTTCATAGGATCCAACCCCTCCAACACCCCCCTGATTTCCTCCGAGGTAAGACCCTAAACAGTCTTTTGTTTCAGACTCGGAGGACACCACGGGGGTTGGGGGTGTGCGGTGGCTTGGAGCGTATAAATTTCGAAAGATTTCAGTCGACCGAAGTTTGGTTGAACCTTTAAGTTTCCTCGCCGACTAAGGTGGACCCTCACAAGTCGGAGTTGCTAAAGTTGCCTGTCCTTGGCAATTCTTAGGTAGGATCTGCAACGTTACCTATGCTAACTTCTGAATGTTTCCAGCATCTGCCTAGCGTTGCATAGCGTTGCCATGTTGGCCACACTCCATTAGGAGGCATTTGAGTTTGCTTCGCCGATTCAGAGTGGAGTGCCTGACGGTTGCCTGAGGCTCCCTCCAGTGCTGATGATGTAGCATGCTGCTCATACATGAGATAACCCGGCACAGCGATTGCGCGCACCAACCCATTTCATGAGCACGGCACATTGATCTTCCAGCAAATCACAAACTTTGCTCAGCCAAACTCCGTCACTTCCCTCTCTGCCAGAGGTTCAAAATCATCAGGGAGACCCTAGAGAGTAGGTGGAAGCTTCCAAGCTGAGTGTTTGGACTTCATCACTTTTTGGGAAGATCATTCTTGTGGCCGACACAAAGTCTGGTTCGTTTACTCAAGTGAGACTCTCCCATATTTCCTTCGTTGGTTCGTTAAATGGTGAAGGACCGCACAAAGGGACGTCAACCCTTGCAGTCAGGTGGATTAGATTGGCGAAGTGCTCGCGGCATGAGGCTTCACCACCTGCCCATGGCCTGAGCTGGCGCTTTGCTCCGATCGAGATGGTTCCAAGGCATATCGCTTACGGAATGACCCGGCTGCGCTTCGAGGGAACGGGTTCCCCGTGGCATCTTCCCCTTCAAGTGGTTTTGGTGCAGAGTCAGAGGAGCGACTGCAGTCTCCGTGGAAACGCCTCTTTCCCAAAACATGCCAATATGTCATTATGCCCATGACCTCACTGCGAAGTTGCCATGCGTGCGAAGGGCGAAGGGCTGGTCCAAAGGTTTCACCCAGTGGGAAAAGTCACTGAAGTGGCAGACCCAAGAGCACGAGCCAGCAACCAAGAGGTGTTCATTGATTCATTCCACTCCCAGAGATGTTGATATATCGGTGGTACATCCAGTCCGCCAATCCGGCGCAAAGAAATAGGAATCAAATGTTGAGTATGGCTCAAGCAGGCTTTATCAGTGACATGGGTCCAGTCCAGGTTTTCCAGTCCTCAATGACAGGATGGGCACCGCTTGAGCCGCCATGGAGATGGCATCTCGCGGGGCGGAGTGCGCTCCGGTCGTCTCCTGTTTTCAGTTTCAGGGGGGCCCAAGATTTTGCGGTGATTCTGCACATCACCTGAAAGACATCAGTCTTTCTTTGCTGCACATCAAGGAACCCCAACAAGGGAATCAAATGTCGAAAAGAGATTCTTCTACAAATGAGGGTTTCTTGCGGGATTCTTGTGTTGTCAGGAGAGTGGCGATCTTTCGGTCAGTGTCTTCGGTTGACCATTCCTGTCTTGCACTACCTAAATGTGCAAAAATAACTCTGCCTCTGGAAAAGGCTTGTTTCTCTCTGGTTCCTGTCGTTGATCTTTGGTTTGGGTGGGCCCTACTATCGGTTTTGCAAGTGTTGGGTGGTCCCCCATCAGTTCCTGAGTATGCACGTGAATCTTTAATATTTCATCAGGTAGCCTGGTGGTTGAGATTGGTAGGGTTTCAACGCCTGGTTCTTGAGGGTACTTGAATCCACACGGAACATCTCCGAACCGATCCAAATCGCTGAAGGGAAGCTGACCACAATGACGGTAAATTTACAGGTATGTGTGTCAAGAAAAGGTGACTGGGTGGTCTCCTGTTGGTTTCCCTACCCCCCTCCCCCCCCAAAGAAAAACAAAGAACAGAAGAAAGCGACAAGGGATTTTTCGCGGGCCCCCTGTTTTTGCAGCTCCCAACTCTCCGCGCGCCCTTATTCGCCCGGCGAATCGCGAATCCGATTCGGCGATCGATCAGGGAAAAGGGCGAACACATTGCGTATAAACTAGCGAGGTATTTGTTCCTTCCTCTTTTTTTTTTTGGGGGGGGGGGAGGGTGTTAAAAGGGAAGCAAGAAAGGAACCATACATCATCTTAAAAGGTCTCCAATTTGTTGAAACGCCTATCTGTGTTTGCAAGTTGAATCCAGTAAGCCTGGCAGATGGCTCCTCTCCTTTGTTGCAGTTCAGTTCGAGGATCCACCAAGAGGCTTACGGGTACTAACTTTGACCACGGCCAAAGGACATATACCCATCACGAAGGTGCCTTTCTTGACGGTTTCCCAAGTTTCCCACTTCAGGTTGGTGCCTTGTTGCAAATCACCCAGACAAATGTGGCTTCTTGGGCTACAAGAAGCCTCAACCTCCGTGTGAGTTGAGAAGGATTGAGACGCTCAGTAGAACCAACCAAGAAAGTTGTATATGTCGTTTTTGTCAAGCCTTGGTGACCCGCAGACAAACCCTCCCCCTTTCTCATTCAAGCAAAAAGGTGCCCATGTTCGAAACAAGCTGTAAGTTTGGATCCGTGTTTATGGGGGACCCCTAAAATTGGTTTCCCTTCAAACCACCCCAAAAAGGGAACCTCGAAGAGCACACAAAGTCGTTTGCTTTTTCCTCGCCGCCGCTCGGACGGAGTTTTTCGCCGGGCCCGCCTAAGAAGGGCAAGGGGATCTGCACTGGAGCAGGGGTTTCACTTTGGGCGACCAGCTTGCGTTTCAGCGAATAGCTCACGGCAAGATTTGGGGGCGGGTTATTTGAGGCTCGGACCCTTTTCGGGTGGTTTGAAAGGGAAATGAACCGAACAGCGCAAAATCGGTGTTTCTATATGTTTGACACATGCTCATTTACTCCAACTCCGACCTTTTTGTAACTTTGACTGGGGTCATTATTTTGTCTCTTGAGGCGACAGCTTGAACTTGTGCTTGCCAGGGTTTTTGGAGGGGAGTCCATTGCCTGAGAGAACATAAGTGAACCATAGCAACCTCGCAAGGGGACGCAAAACGGCCGAAGACACGTGCTAGGGGCTTCGAAGGAAGTGAGGCTGGCAGAGCTCAGCTCCTAAAGAAATGTGCCAGAGCATAGAATGCAGGAAACAATGGCTCCGTTCGGCTCATATCTTGGCATCTCCAGGAATCCTGTTGTGACATTTGTGAGCAACGGGGTCGAAGGGTGGGGAGCTTAGCCGCAACCATTTTGAAGAACCAATCTTAGATAGCTGCCATATGCCTGCCCAAGATGTTTTTTTCTTCTTGCGTATCTTTTGTTGGGAGCTTTGGATGGATCTTGAGGTTTGTTGACAAACTTAATGATCGTTCATTCTTAGTTTGGAAACATTGGGGGGACCAGCCGAACTTTCCCATCGAACAGATACAGCTGGGGGTCAGTAGGATAGACGCTGGGGCCGCAGGGGGACTACCCATTTTCCCATGTCCTCTTGGGGATGAAAGCATATGGTCCGTGGGACATACGGAAGCCCCTCTATCATTCCCCATGCGAGGTGTGTGACCGTAGAAACGGGCAGCAACTGACTGTGACCAAAAAGCGCGCAAGCTTGTCAAGGCTGGGTCGCTCGACAGGGAATTGGACTTAGGAATGGGATGTCTCCCACTTTTTGTCAGAGCCTCGGCATAATTCGGAGGGTACGAGCCGCCGCGTAGCCCTTCTTGACCTCAGATGGCTGCAGATGTTTGGAGCTCGTGTTAGAATTGGGATCCCCATCTGGTGGATTTGTCCCATTCTCAATGTTTGGGTGATAGACGCACAGCTGCTTTGTCAGTCACAGAAAGGAATGTGCTCGACACATGAAGTGGGTCACTTGCCAAACTGCCGCTCTGTTTACAGCAGTGACGTGCGGCGCTCGTGTTGGCTAAAAGGCCTGGCATCTTACGTAGCACCTGAGCGCTAGACAAAGCAACTGGCGCTGAACTGTGGAGCCCTCCAGAGAAAGAAGGCGACCGCCAAATTTGCGAATTGCAAGTTGGGGTTGGTGCTGCAAATTAGAATTTACTCGGTAAGGCGCTTGGGGTTTGGGGGGTGGGGAAGGTGAATAAAACTCGCACTGAACTTGTGGGATTTTGGGGATCTGTCATTTCAGGTTGTCGATCTGTGGTCCAAGAGGCAACCGGCAGAGACCGGATAAGCAGTCGGGGCATTATGCTAATTTGGGTCGGTGTGAAATAAGGAAGCGCAAAATCATTGCTTTTGTGTTCCTTTTGAAAGCGTCGCGTATTGTTTCTGTTTGGTCATGGTCATTTATGCAAACGGATTCTGAATGGTCCACTTCTGTTGCCGGTTGTGTCCGAAGTGTTGGTGACTACGTAGTCTCCTTTTAGGGGGTTGTCAAAAGATGGCCTCGTTTTGGACCCCGGTGCAGCCTTGTGCCACCCCTTGGGCCTCTAATTTTGACAACCCTCCTTGTTGGCAAGATTGTGTTTCCAACCAATCCTTTTCGATCCGAATTCCACGCTTTGTTGAGTCCCCTGCATGTTCAAATCACTCATGTTGTCTCAAAATGCGGCAACCCCCCATATGGGCTTTGGTCTTCCTTTCACTTCCCCAAGAAGGCGTCCCCTTAAAATCCCAAACCAGAGGGCTTAGCCCCCTTGGGGTTATATTTAAAACAGGTTGCGTAGAGCCTTCGACGCCAGGAGTGGTGAAGGCTTTCCAAAGTCTGGTGGGTCTGGTGCTGGAGGGCGAAGCCGCCCGGAGCCCCGGAGGAGCCCCAGAGTCCGGGCCTCGCTCGGAGCCGGAGATGGAGTCAAATCCAAGCACGGGGAGTGGATCCGTAGAGCCCAGGGAAAAGACAAGAAAGCCATTTTTGGGGGAACCACCTTGGGATTCAGCATTCTTTTTGGGAACCACCTTGTGAAGAATAAGGTTTCGGGGAAAACCAACTTTTGTCAGAGGTTTGGGAGTGCGAGCTTCCAGATGAATGCTCTCTTAAGGATGAAGTACTGTAGCCATTTCTGGGGGGGTATGGGGGTTCTCACAGCTATTTGAGGAGACATGCTTATCTCAACGAAAACATGGAGAAGTTATCTCAAAGTACTCTCACGGAGAGTATGATTATTTCAAAGCTCTGAAGTTTGGGGAAGTATGGCGCTTTCTCATTCAATCATATTTGGGGAGCCGTATTTTGTCAGGAGGTTAGTGCATTTCAGACTCTTTTGCTTGCAGATATGATTCCTTGTCCCAGCCGGCATCATGGACCGGTCAATGCTGAGAAAGGCATCCCATATTAGGAATCGTCGTTGTTGTTTGCTGCAGCGTCAACTTTTGGAGATGGATGGGAACAGAGAATTAATTTCAACAACCTCTGGTTGAGCAGCATGGGGTAAGAACATCCTGCACTTCTTGGTGGGAACACCCCGCTGTTGCATACTCCGGCAGGTTGATTGTTCCGAGATCGACATTGAGAAGGGGTACAGCTGGTCCAATTTCGGGGTAAGTGGATTTCAATGCTCGGAAGCGTTTGGAAAGGATACATTTGGGCCTTGTCGGCTGACTTAGAGGGTCTCTGTGCAAAGCAGGCGTTTCGGATGTATCACTCCAGGAACCTACCTTGTTTCAACATGTTGACAAATTAGGAAGGACTGTCACTTTGGTCGCTTTGTGCATATTGAACCCAGACCTCCAGTAGTGCCCGCTTTTCCTGCCTTGCAAAGAATCATAGACACAACTACACAACAAGTGCCATCTTTTCTTCTCATGGAAATCAACACATGCCTTTCCACCGGTTTCCCGCTGGCCAAAGGAACCCCGACAACCCGCATGGGCGGCCCTCCCCACTTCCTCCATGAGCTCGGCCGCGGCCTGGCTGAGGCCCGGCGTGCGGAGGCGGAGTCCTTTGGGGAGAGCTGGACGCAGCGCTGCTTCGCGCTGCCTTGCGGGTGCGCGCGCGCGGGGAGGGGGGGGGGGGGGTGAGATGGTTTCTGTCTGTTTTTGTTTCCTATTTGAATTGTGGTTCATTGTTTTCTTTGTTTCCCGGCTTTTTCTTGATTTTCCTTGCTTGCTAGCTTTTCCTTGATGTTCCTCGTTTGCCTCTTTTTCTTTGCGTGGTTGAGATTGGATTGGCTTGGGGGGGGTGTTGTTGTTTCGAGGCTTGTTTGGATGGTTCTTTGGAATGGGTGTTTTTGAGTGGCTTTGGCGGGGGTTGGAAAACATCTAGGGCCTCTAGGGACGGTTTTTTGTTCTATACCTAGCCACTTTGTAGTTGGAAGGCTCCGGTAAGTTGGTCCATTGTGTTGGCCCGCTTGTTGTCTTCACTTGGAGGGTTCCCCGTGGTTTCAGCGTTGAGATTGCAGCAACCTTTCTTGACGATTGGATTTCCTCAGCAGTTTTCCGCAGGCTTCCACATTTGTCTGCGCGTGCACTATCTGACACGCAGATGTGCACAGATACACTGGTAAATCGGCTGCTTGAGCATGGCTTACACAGGATCCCCAAGCCAGTCGGTATTTGAACCTGTGGCTTTTGCCCACTTGCCAGAATGGTTTGTTTCTCCCTTTGCAGAAAGGTACTGTGTGTTTCTTGCCCCTGGCCTGGACCGGGTGAAACCTCAACGGTTCGGAAGCATGTGGAGGCTCACGGACTGCCCGCAGCTCACCGGCATGACCTCGCCCCCGGGGCTGCGGCCGCGGGAGCCCCGCCGTGCCTTGGAACACAAGTCAACGTCTGATCCGCCAAAACAACTCAAGAGGCTTCCCCTCCAAAGGAGCACTCTGAAATGAGTTTCGTATGGGAGGTGTGTCGTGTTTTGAATTGGAAGCCTCTTTGCGAGTGGTTTCAATTGAAGCCAATGGATTTGCTTTTAAGCATTAGAACAGCAACACCAAGAAGAGCACACTCAATGAGGGATGTGTATGAGTGTGTGCGTATCCTTGTTTTGAGGGGCAACCCCTTCTTGAGAAGGTACAACAAACAATGCGGTTTTCAATTTGCTCCCGTACTTGTGATATTGAGGGCGTCGACAATATCTCTAGAGCTTACAAACATGAGCTTGGCTCAAATAGCGAACCTCCCCTTAGATAGTCTCTCAAATGGAAGGGGACACACTAGTTGAGAAACACTCTACTTTTGGGCCTAGGATGGAACTCCCCCTAAAAATTGGAATGAATTTGATTTGATGGGACCCTTTGATCATTTACTTAGGGACTCATGTCCACCAACCACTTGGGGGTTCCCCATTCACTGCCACATCGCAGTACCTTCCACAGGTGTTCCTTCCCCTGATAGATTGAGGTGGAGAAAAACTGAGCAGTAAAAATATTGCAAGGGAACAAGGACATGCCGGCAATTCAGCACAATTTAGTGGTTGGTTCAATTAAAACAGGGGAATAAGGGAAGGGGACCCCTGCGTCGCTTTGAGGCGGGCTACTAGTCCCCTGTTTGTACATGACACTAGCGGCTAAGGGACGGGAACCCCGTTTTCATGGTTGCATGTGGTCAGGCAACTAAAAGACCACCCCTCCCACTCCGAGACTCGGCCGTGAGGCGGAATTCCCTGCAACGAGCAGCTGGTGGAGGTCTTGGATCCGGACGGTCACGCGTGACGCCCAGCCAGTGGCAGAATTGGTCTATGGTAGCAAACTATCCATTTTGGAAACGGAACACGGGCAGATTTGTTTCAGATGGAATCACATGCATTGGAAGATGTTCGTGTCAGAGGTCGGACACATGACACATACTTTGCAAGGCTAATTTTGTTCTTGGTATAGACTGCATGCAGAGTTCTTGTTTGGGCCATACGTTCCATGTCTAGATGCCTAGGTAGTTCATATTGGTGAATACACTCCTTACGTGTGAGTTTCAGCACATTTCTAACCGTACTGTCCCCATCCTTCTCCTCAACACCTGAGAGCATGAGAGGGGGTTTCAGCGTTTCTCAAAGCGGGTGAAGAGAAGGGGTATTCAACCCGTTGTAACCTCGAATTCACATGCCGGACGTGTGAGACACTGCGATGTGTGTATGTGGTCAAGTTTGAAACTGACTTCAACTGACACATTGCATTCCACATATTCGTATTTGACGCACGTCGAATTGAAAGAATGATAGGTGCTCCTTTGAATCAGACTAGAACCCAAGAATCCCCTAAACCTGATGGTGTTTTGGGTTCGTTGCCCCGGATGAATAAACCTGGCGACGAATAGGGGGTGTCCCTCAAAAATGAAGGAGGCCCTCCAAAATGGGACACCCCGCCAACTGATCAACCAGGGGTAAAACATGTCTTTTGTTCCGATTCATCCCCCAAACGTTGGTGTTCCTCCAATAGTCTCACTTTCTGAGTCCTGAGTGGTACACAAAAAGTCTAGTTGGTACTCCCTGAAACGTTTCAACTGGTGGCTCCCCTGTTTGATTCCCCAAGGTGTTGGACAGACGGATCGATCGAAACAAGGCAGATAGGAGAGTTACTCAAAATGGTCCCCTTCAAAGGAACTTACAGCCAACAGGCGCTTTTTTTTGGGGATCTATTTTGAGGTATGCTATAAGGACACCCAGTCGCGTGACCTGAAGGGGCCCTCTCCTTGGGTCTTTTTGGGTTCCCTGAAAAGCGGTGCCGAGGTTTTGTGTGAGCCCCGGACGCTGGCAGAGTGCCTGGACTCGCGGCTGCGAGGGCCCCCGGCGTGTGAGCCGCGGAATTCGGGACCTCTTGGGAATATGGGCCAATGCCTCTATGTTTTTGAATGAGCCACAGCATCAGCCCAAAAGTCCAAACCCCCCAAAGTTGTACCTTGTGCCTTGAACCGGAAAAACCCAAAAGAAAGCACACATTTGTTGGTGAAGTATGGTACGTCACCTATTTGAAATGACCAATAAGACCCTCATGAAAGGCAGCCCCAAGAAAGGAACAGGCCAAAATCAGACAAAACCGAGCTGAAACCACAGGTCTAGGGCGCTCCGAGAATGCTCACAACACCTGGTCACTTCTGAACGCAAGACCCACAACCGCAGTCCAGTCGGATGCATTGCAGGTTTTTCTCTCACCTCTGCAGTTTTTGGTTTCCTTCATTCCCGCACCCGCAACAAGTTAGTCGTCACTTGCCAGTCTCAGTGAAGCACCAACCTGAAAGAAATGGACCCCCAAGCAAAGAATCCGCGAGGAAGGAATAGGGAAGGAAACAACTATAAAAAAAAAAAAAACTATAAAAACTGACTGAAGCCAACATGGGGGGGGTTCTTAAAATGGTGGACCCCTTTTGCTTGGTGCTGGATGTGCGAAGTGGGTCCAGCCATTTTCAATTTTTACCGGATGGGTCAGCGTTTATACGGGATTCCCTGTATTGCCATCCTATTCCAGCAGGGATTTGAAACAGCTTCCATATGCTTCCCATTTCGTTAGTGAGCTTTCTCTTGGAGTGATACCTTTTTCAATCGGCTGAACCCGGTTGGATCCGTCGAGGTTGCACCGCGCAGTGCACGTGTGGCTCTGCGTGCCCCGCACCGGGGCATTGCTGTTGCGGAAGTGGCACGCCAAGTCCAAGCACCCAGGCGCTCGGGCCGTGCTGTACTTTCCGGACTTGTCTGAGGGGGGCAGCTCTTTTCGGGGTTTGAAAGAGACACCAACGAAAAGCAAATCATCATTCTGTGAAACCTATCCCGAGGACATAATTTGACTTAAGGTTGACGAACGGGCAAAGGCTGAGGTAGGGAAGGAGCATCTCTCTTAAGCACCCAATTTGGGCTGTTGTTGGACCTGTGGGCTTTGTGGTGGTTTTGAGCCAACGTCATGCGTCGAAACTTTTCGATGGTGCTGACATCCCGTCGCACTGAGATGTCATAATAGTGTATCGTCGTTGTTCTTGTGCATGTGTTTCCTTGCTCTTCTGGAATCGTCACCTCCATGTTGCACGTTTGGAGTTTCAGCGAGAGCAGATCTCCAAAGAGTTGGGCAAGGACCCAATGTCAAATTTTCAGGCTTCCCTCCCCCCCAGCACTTGTATAGCTCTTTGGGTGTCCGAGTCAGCCTCTTATAGACCCAAGGGACACCTGCTGGCTGGAAACGAAGCGCAATCATCCAGCACCCAAAGGCTTGCGAGCCTTTTTGTTCTTCTCTCTTATGGGTGGAGGGGTTTCCTTTAAAGCCAAACTACCAAACAAGAGTGCCAAATGCTTTTTCACTGACAAACTCTGAAACACCGGCTTGGTGAGAATCACATACAATGAATGCTGTGATGTGATCTCTGCGTTAATCCATTTATGTCACCCGGCTTCAGTGTAGGGAATAAAGATTTCCGTGTAACTTGCGCTACATCATGGCCAGTTTCTTTCCATTCTACCATGAGAACCCACAGTACTTTGAGTGTAAAGATGGGGGCTTCGGTTTCACCCTGAATGTCTGTGTGTCTGTGTGTGTCTGTGTGTCTGTGTGTCTGTGTGTCTGTGTGTCTGTGTGTGCATTTGTTTTCACAAGTGTGTGTGTCAGGGATCAATCATTGACCAGGGCCCTCATATTCCGCAGCTTCATTGCCGTTTAAATGGGTTTTCCACAAACATAGTGCCCCTTGAGTGGTAGTAAAACAGGGTAAACCACGGGTAAACCATCGGTAGACCACGGGCAAACCATGGGTAGACCACGGGTAAACCACGGGTAAACCATGGGTAGACCACGGGCAAACCATGGGTAGACCACGGGCAAACCATGGGTAGACCACGGGTAAACCACGGGTAAACCATGGGTAGACAACGGGCAAACCATGGGTAGACCACGGGTAAACCACGGGTAAACCACGGGCAAACCATGGGTAGACCACGGGTAAACCACGGGTAAACCATGGGTAGACCACGGGCAAACCATGGGTAGACCACGGGCAAACCATGGGTAGACCACGGGCAAACCATGGGTAGACCACGGGTAAAACACGGGTAGACCACGGGTAAACCACGGGTAAACCATGGGTAGACCACGGGCAAACCATGGGTAGACCACGGGTAAACCACGGGTAAACCATGGGTAGACCACGGGCACCAAAACCACCAAACCATGGGTAAACCACGGGTAAACCATGGGTAGACCACGGGCAAACCATGGGTAGACCACGGGCAAACCATGGGTAGAC